GTCCCTTCCAACCTTGAAGACTCTGTGATTCTGTGAAGCTCAGAAAACTAACCATGGCACATGTGCGGTGCACCTCAAGTCTTGGGGAAGGGCCATCTTCTTATAGCCCTCACCACTGCCCACATTGCTGTCCTGGTGGAAGAAATAAACCCAGAGCAATATACTAGTGAAGAAAAATTTTGGTTGTGTCTGGTGGCACGTTGGGAGAGACAGGGACATGTTATGGGACAGCTGTTTGGAAATGATAGGCAGCATGAACAGAGACAGAGTGTGTGGCTTGGGATTGGGGTGCATCAACCATTTCTACAACTTAGAGTATCTTTTGGCATCTAATGCGGCTGGAGAAACATCTGCCTGCTAGTCAGCTACATCCGCAGCAAGGGCCAATGCTTACATAGGCCTGTTTAAGTGTGGTGGACGCATGGATCTCTTTAGCAAAGCTGGCCCTGAGAAGGCCATAGAGCTGCTATACTTGTGTCCATGAGCAGAGTATCAACTCTGAAGACAGTGCTCCACACCCCAAACATCCTTCTTGCCATTCTTGGAAACAGCAAAGGCATCTGACAGGAACTGACTGGGCTGAATTTGCAGGACACCACCCAGGTAATGTTCATGAACCCTATGGTGCCCAAAACAAACTTTTAGCTTATCCCTGGGGCTCGTCCTGAGGCAGCGCGGGGTCTTCTCCCCATCCGAATGTGCTTCCTCCAATGCCAACCTCAATAACTACCCCCAGCTCTTTCTGGAATTCCTCGGCATGGCATAGTGTGAAGGGGAGGAGTTCTGCAATGCATTAATTATTTAACAACAAGATAGCCACTGTTCAGTCCTCAGGTAGTCTTCAAGATCTAGAGAAGGGAGAAGGGAGATGCACCTATGGAGAGGATCTGTACTGCTAAGCACCCTCAGGCCCAAGGCCAGGTGTCTCTGGGCACAGCCAAGGGGGATTTGCAGGCAACAACAGCATGCAATGGATGCACAACCTTGCTGTGAGGCTGACAAGAAGCCACAAGATCTTGTCCCTAGGTGCACAAGGATGGATGTGGTAGGACAGTAGCATGGCAGAGTTATGGAGGTCAACCTCTCCATGCTCATCTCAAACATCCTCTTGGCAGCAGACCTGCGTTTCTGAACTGCTTGATGGGTGATCTTACTGCTGTCTGCAGCTACCTAATGGGAGGGTGCAAGAAGGCAGAGCCAAATTCTTCTGAGGTGTGTTGTGACAGGATGATAGGCAATGGGAACAAGCTGGACTGTAGGAAATTTTCCTTTGATACTAGGAAAAAATGTTCACTGTGAATGTAGTCAAATACGGGAACAGAGGCTGTGGAACCTACAATCTTGGTGATACTCAGACATCATCTGGAAAAGTTCCCCAGCAGCTGGGTCTAAGCTTGTCGACTCTGGACAGAGGGTCAGTCCCTTCCAAACTAAGTTATTCTCTGTTTCTATTATGACATACCTATATGATGCATTAACTTAATTTCCAGGCTTTATCTCCATTACACTACGCTTTCATCTTGGGTCATTTAGCCTCACAGCTGCTCCGTGCGAGCTCTGATAGAGCATTACACAGTCCTTCCCTTTCACAGAGCAATCAGGATTTTCCTTCTTTACTTCATGTAAGACCATTCCCTGTCCTTTACAAACTCCCATCTGCCGTGGGAGGTTCTCAGTGAAGTCTACCTACTTTGTCAATGGTTTACTTGAAATCTCATAGGTGCTATTGTCATTTTGTCCTACTGCTGCACCAACCTTAAAATCCATCTCAGTGCCACATATTTTGCTTGGAAATACCTTGTCCACTTGCCTCAGCAGGCTTCTACCTGGCTTTCCTGAACTTGGTCACTCTGTGATCATTTTTGTCTGCATTCGAGTTCCCCTTTTGTGCCTGAGCCGTCCATCCATCCTGTTTGAAAGAAGGGGAGCCTTTCAAGAGAGGCTGAGCGAAACTAAGGCTGTGCTGCTGAAGAGCAGGTTTCCTCCCGCAGAAACCTTGCCAGGCTCTGGGAAGTCTCAGCTGTGGTGGGGCAAGGCTGAGTCACCCCTTGGAGAACGGCGTTTTCCTGAGAAACACAAGAAATGCCCAGTCCTCTTACATCTGTCTCTCTTGGTGACCATCCATCCTTAAGAAGAAGCAAACCTAGAAGCTAAAATACTTCACAGGGCTCCCTGTCACCAATTTTGGTGGCCAGCCATCTTCTCCTGGCAGATTCTACAGCAATCTGTAGACACTTTGAATTCAGGAGTGTCTGACAAGTTTGAACAGAAAACCCTACACCACTCTGGGAGCAGTATTGGGCCAGCGAGCCCTTTGATTGCAATCAGTGAGTTGGCAAGAATCCCAGGAACTCGTACAAAAATGCTTTGAAGAGGCCAGATGCACAAGGTGTGTCCCTGTGAGCCTGTGGGGTGCGGAGTGGTGATTCATGGCATCACCATGCGATGGTTGGTGTGTGCACATGCAGCCGTCGGACCGCAACTGAGGCTCCGGTCCCCCTCAGGTCGCCAGGTGCCTCTTTTGCTCTCCAGTCTTTTGCCAGTTGTGCTCAAAATTCCACATGGTTCTTGTTTCCCTTGCAGCTTTTTCCTTCCGCTGTCCCCATGCCTGCAAGCTCCAGACGGAAAAGCAGACAGGGAATTTGCTTAAGGCACTTGGAGGTGCAGGACTCYGGCTGCCGTGCGCTACTCTGGTGCTGAGTGGGGCTCTCTGGGGATGACACTCACCGTGCCCTGCTAAGGGAGCATCACTGTGCCTGATTCAGAGCAGAAGCAGCAGTTTGCATAGAGCTGCAACAAACTCCTTTGTCCAAGTAGCTTTTAGAAGCAGGTTTGGGATATGTTTCCAAAAACCGGGAGATTTCTTCCCTTGGGCTAGATGGTGCAAACTCACCCCTAAAGAAACTATTGTTTCTTGAAAGACTTTATAAGCGCCCTGTCCCCAAATGCAGCCCAACTCAGCGTTTTGGGCGAGTTATGAAACAGGGCAGATGCCAGAGCGTAGCATTTGTATTATCCGCCAGTAAATGACTGGATGTGATAAACACTTGGCTGTCCCGCACRGGGACAGGGTGAGGGCTGTTCCTTGCCGTGGGGCAAATGACATTACAGGTTTGCAAGACCTGGGCACTTTGTTGTTCAGAAGCCATCTGACGCTGACAGCCTGTCATTGATTTGCGAAAACATCGCTTGGCATCGATAACAAGCTTTCAGGAGAAACAAGTAGGACACAGGAAAACAACACCCAGATATCGCTCTGCTGTTCCTTACCCTGACTGGGAAGCATGCAGACTTATCCCCACTGGGTGAAAACGGGCCCAGGAGCATCAGAAAATATTCCTCCAYGTCACTAGGCACTGACAACCCAATCTTCGGCAGTGCTCTCCCCGCTGGCCTCTTCTGCTCATAGTCTAAATGGACTGAGCCTGGAGGGTGCCAGAAGACAGTGAAGGTGCCACATCCTTTTGATGAGGTGTCAGGAAACCTGAGGAGGGGGGACGGAAGGTAATTAGCCCTTAGCTGCTCTAGTCATGAGTCTCATCAATAAATGCTGAGTTTCTAGTGCTGGAGTTTGCTGGAGGAGCATTGCGGAGCCATCAGAAAAGGAAGATGAACAGCCCCCATGCTCCTCAGTATCATACCTTGGGTTTTATACTACTGCTGTTTCTTTGAAAACCAAAATGCAGACACATGGGTTCACAAACTGCCAAGAAAACATGAAACCTGATGAGTGGAAGCAGAGTTAATTTTTTTCCATGTCTTCCTGCTGCTTTCAAGGAGTGACCTAGTGCCCCGGAGTGAAAGCACCAGGCCTGTGGCCAGATCCCAAGCACTAGTTCCTCATCCAAGAGAGCAGCTGCACAAGTGCTCTCCAGTAGCGCAAGGAACCTGCTCCTCCTGGCCCTTGTCTGGGCCTTCTGCTCCTGCAGACATCCGTGAGAGCCAGGACTGGGGGGGACATCAGGAAGCCTCTGCCCTGGGCGCCTTCTCTCCTGGTCTCCTGGTGTATCAGCCTCTTGTGGCTTGGCAAAAGCTTTGTCAGCATTTGCTGTTACCTGAAACTGGTCGCACCAGCATTGAGGTGTCTGGTTCACAGCAGTGCGGCTTGGCAGGGAGAAACTTCTTCCCTCAAAACCTCTTCCCTCCAATTCAAAGCTCGGTGTGTAATGTCTGATATTTTCTCTGTGGAGGAGAGCCTGGGCATAGGGCTGGCCCTGCAGAGGCAACGAGTGATGCCACCACGAACACCCATGCCCATCCCATGGTCAGCAGGCCTGAGGGATAGCTCCAGGACCAAGCTGAAGGGTTGCTCAGGCAGTCCCATGCACTCCCTGGTTGGTGCAGGCAGAGGAACCTTTCCCCAAATACAGGACTGGAGCTGATTGACCTGAGAACATCCCAGCAGGGCCAGGGACAGAACCCAGACCCACAGGCACAGGGGAGCGTTGCTGCCCATGCCCATGCTGCCTCTTACTACCAAGGGCATCTCCTGCTTCTTGGCACAGAAACCCCATTTCGATCCAGTTCAGACGCAGGGAAACAACAAAGTACGAGACGAGCGGGGCCGTGCRGGATCTCCTGCAGCCTCCCGGCCACCTGCTTCCCTCCCGAGCCCGCCAGGCCCGTGGGCCCCCGACGCGGCAGGGCGGCCGCCGTGCCCCGCGCTCGGGCCGGGCCGGCTGGCGGAGGCAGGGCCGCGTGCCCCGCAGCGGCGGCGCGGGGCTGCGAGCGAGCGCGCGGAGCCGCGCTCCCCGCGCGTGGGTGGGTAGGGGCAGGGCCGTATATCCAGTCTGGCGGAGGGTGTGCCTGCTCACACGCCGCCGAGCCGAGCCGCCGGCAGGAGCCCCGAGACACCCTCGGCCGCGGGACGTATGGCAAGGAGGGGCTTGGGAGATTAAGCGCAGGGCGAGACGTGTCGCGGTGGCCTCGTGTCGCGTGCGGTCAGGTGAAGTGCAGAGCCCCTCTGTCCCCCCGCCCAGCCCTGAGGCCCGTTCGCAGCCATGCTTCACTCTCCGCTGAAAACGGCGCTGGCGTATGAATGTTTCCAAGACCAGGCCAGTTCCACGCTGGCCTTGCCCTCGGATCACAAGCTGAAAACTAAGGGCACGGGAAAACAGAGGGTCCAAGAACAAGTGATGATGACGGTGAAACGGCAGAAGCAGAAATCGTCTGTGTCTTCGAGCATGGGCCACTCCAACCGAGGTAAAATCCCACAGCGCGGCGGACAGCAAGGGGTCCCTGGTGGGCACGGAGCAGATGYTAGAGGGTCATCCTGCTCCAGGCCACGGGCTTGTTGGGGGCTTTGTTCGTGGGGGACAGACCAGCTCATGTCTCTTGTTACCTACCTGCTGGGTTACCTTGGCCAGGAATGCCCACGTCTCTTGCACTGGACAGAAGAATTAAGATGAGATGTGGCTTTGGAGGCAGTGACTCCTTTGCTGGTGTGGATATGAGAGAAAAGTGAATGTAGATGAGCCAGGAGCGCAGTGGAGCCAAGCTGATCTGCATCCCTGAGGCACTTGGATGTTTCAGCACGGTGCTATTAACTCTAAAGCCGGAGAAGCTTCCTAGCCTTTGTGAATCCTTTCTCTGGGAATGTCCCTGCAGGTCAGCTCCTTGGCCAGATTCTTCCCCTCCTGTGGCCAGCTCTTCTCCATCATGCTGTGGAACTTGGAGCTGGCCAAGAGCTCTGGCTCAGCTGTCACTTCTTTAATACTGCTGCAGATACTGCAGCTCAATGCAGGGTTCCCCTTGGAGAGTCCCCATGTTTCCCTCCCCTTCCAGGCTGTGTTACAGAGAAGCATGGAGACAGCCGAGTCTCGGGGACACCACGGTGTGATCAGAGAAGAAGAATGAGAAAGGTGTTGAAGGTTTTTTTTCCCTTGCTGTGGCCTCTTGTGTTTCAGAGGGTACGGGACAACCCCATCTGTTTTGCAGACAGGTCAGTTGGGGTGGGGGGACCACTGTGGTCCACCGCTGTGCCAGGGACTTGTGCCGCAGAAAGCAAGCAGTCAGTTGAGTCCTGGAGTTTTTTCAGATTTTCTACCAGAACACTTTTTTGGGGACAGGACTTGGCAGGTGATTGGCTTCACTGTCCTTCTTGCATCTGGAGAAAGGTGCTTTGAAGATAAATCCCAGCAGAGCTSAGTTCACTGGGAAGAAGAAAGTGTGGGGACGTGAAGGAAGTTGAGCGGTTGGGGCTGAGCCGTCCGGCTGCATCCTGAGCGAGCAGTGCATCGAGGGGTGGTTACTGGAAGGCTGGGTGACTGTGACCAATTTTGGTGACTGTGGTCCTGACTCTACCATGTCTTGCAGGCCACTTCTCAGGGCTGGGTCGCTAGGGGGAATAGGTGGAACCCAGTGCTGTTAAGGCRTCATGGTCCAAATATTTTGAGCTGATTTGAAGAGAGAAGCAGGGTAGCAATATGCAGCCTGGTGAAGGAATCAGGATGGTGGTCCCCAAGGACCATAGGTGCCCTCCTGGCCATATATATTGCAGTTGCTGTGGCTGAGAGAGTAGAACAGCTTTGTGGGGGAAGGCAAATGTGCCATAGCTCATGAAGGGCATCGGTGGGTGCAGATAACTGGTCTCTTTGATTTGACTTGTTTGTGGACACAGATTCCAAGGGGTGGATGGGGAACAAGTGGGTGAAGAGAGCTTTTTTTTTTTATTCAGCCACCAAAAGGGAAAGCAACAGAGAATGCAAATAAAATACAAACCAGGATGATAAGAGAAGCTCTGGTTGAGGATTGAGTCAGTGCTGGTCTCCCTTTTCATCAGAGTTTTATTTCAAGAAGCAGGCAGGCAGATGTCTGATTGGTAAAGAGAAGAGTCCCTGTGGAGAAGTGTCCAAGTTAAATCTCCTGGGAGGAAGTCAGGGGGAGCAAATTCTCCAGGTGCTCCTCTTTGCTTAGCAAACCCACTTTAAATGTGTCCCCCAGACTTTGGAGAATATCAGGGAATTGCTCGGAAAAGTGTAGCTCTGGTTTCTATGTCCYCGGGAAGCTGAGTCACACTCCACTGAGCAACCAGCTGCTGCCTCCAAACACAGGGCAGAGACTGTCCCCTTCCCACAGCAGAACACCAACCAGTGCTGGGATCCTGGGCGCTGCCTCCCTGCTCACACACATATGCCAGGGASAGGTAGATTTGCCCCCTTAGCACCATGGGGTGCTGGATGGACTCCCAAAAGGGACAAGAAGTTCTTGTTTCTTCTCCAGCTTTTCTCCTGGGCTGACATCATCGTGCGAGGGTCAGACTGGATTTCAAGGAGCAGAGTGCTCTCTTGTTTTCTTTATTGCTGTTGTTCTGAAGGTGAGATGAATGACACCTCAAGAGACACAGTTAAGTTTCTATGAGTTATAAGGGACATTGCAGCTCTCTACTGCCTCTTTGAAGGCTCCTCCAATATTAGCTACACCCATCCCTACCTGATTTCTCAGAGATGCTCCTCAAAGGCAGCCCACGCTGGGGAATTTGCAAAGCCCCTTGAGAAATGTCCCAGCATGTTGTTCCTTCTGGATTCAGAAAACTTCCCACATGTGCCTGGTTAGGTATTGGTCCATGTTCAGCTCTCACTGCACTTTCTCCTGCAGTTTGGACAGGCACTGGAGAGCCCAGCAGAGCTTTGCTCAGCTTCTGGAGCATATTTACCTATGTATGTAGGATGGAAACACAGACATACAGGCATAAACCCTACTTACATGTAGCAGGAATGGAGTTAAAGTGACCCTTATCTGGAGTTTCATTAGAGGGCAACAGACATCCTTCCAACATCCTGCTATTAATGTCTGCATAATATTAATCAGTTAATGGCAATCCAGAACATCAAGGGACTAAAACCAATGTCTAAGCCCTGGCTGATGATCTAGTGTGTCCTAGTGTGTGTCCAAACCACAGAGCATTGATGCCTCCTCTGCAGGGCGAGGTGATCCTTCTAAGACTGAACTGATGTGCACTGGGGTAGGGCAATGAGCGGAAACCAAGTGCAAGGAACACAATCCTGCATCGTCATAGGGGCCTTTTCTCAGCACAGAACCTGTGAGTGTTTCCAAGGATGGCTGTAGAGCGCTTGGCTCTCAGATCTGTGGGAACTGCCTCAGGGACATCACTGCTCACCACGTGAACAGCTAACTGGAGAGCTCCATCTGATCTGGGAGTAACGCACAGATTTCAAGAGAAAATAGTTTTCTCTGGCATGACAGGAGAAAAAAGCCAGGCTAAGCTGAATAAAAACACCAGCCAGCTAACAGTKTATACAAAATCCTCTGGCTAAAGAAAACTTTCAACAGTGTCTCATCTCTGGCTAGCAAGAGGTACCAGGAAGAAAAGATCTTAGGAAGCCTGAACTTAGGAGTGTTCTGTCTGTCTGTCTCTCGGCTGGGTTGTGATTTGGAGGTTTACTCTGCTGGCTGCTGTTGAGAGGAGTGAAATCCCAACTAAATCCTTTGAAGTGAGACACTAGCGGACTTTGAGGAAAGTGAGTTTTTTGAAGACTTCTGGAACCTTCCCTCTGTATGAAATGATTCGGTGAACGCTGTCCACTCTTCCATGAGCCTTGCTTTTCGGAGAATTGTTTACAGTAGCAGAAACCCTTTAGCTCATAGCTGAGAACCCCAAACTGCACTTCTCATTCCTGAATGAAACGCAGCTGCTGGGATTTGACTAACACTTCTCTCCTTGGAGGCATCCAGGCTTTGCTTCATGCTTCCCACAGGCCTTCTACTCTTACCACTTCTTTCCTATGTTTAATCATCCTCATTGTTTTAAAGTCATGCATAGTTTATTATTCAGCTTGTCTAGCCTGCACTACCACTGACTGGTTCTTGTCTTGCCTTTCCCTGCCACAGATTAATATTTATTAATCTGCATCCATTGCCACAAACTGCCTATTAGCTTACGTGTCCAGCTGACATCTTTTACTGTTGTACTTGAGAAATGGCTCTGCTCACACAATTCTCCTCTCCGTGAGCCTTTTTGYTTGTCAAAGCTGCCTCTGAAGGCGCTAAATAGCTCATCAAAAGTTGCAAGCAAATTGCAGTAGGTTGAGTTTGCTCCATAATGATCAATAATACCTAAGGGGAGGAAGAAGAGGGCAAGGCAAGCATGTAGTGGCGCTTGCAGTATCTCAGGGCAARATCCAGCAATCCCTAGCAGTTGCAGGCAGTCTTTACTCTATGACCTCTCTCACTGATTGACACTTACCAGCTTTTGAAGGAAATGCCATGGGGTCATAACAATTTGGGTATGGAAGAGAAGRTTTCTATGACAGCCTAGCTAAAGCTTGGTTAGACAAGCTTTAGCGAGGGATATTTTCCGTCCACAACCACGATAGCTGGAAGGCTGTGCTTCAACTGAGCAATTAATATCAATGTTTTCTCTGCCGCCTATTCCATCTCTTAATGCATGATGTTTTAAATCTGCTCTGGGTTTAGCCATAAGCAGGTGGGCACTTTAGAGACCTGCTAAAGAGTTGCTCAGCTGTTGGCACCAGTAGATAGGACTCCCACATGTAAACATAGTTAGGAAACAGCACCAAGGAGGCCTCTCCTCCAGAGAGCATTTCCACCTCCTGCAAAATGTTCTTTGAAGAGGACAATCTCTTTTCTTTCCCCATGTTCTCAATATCTGTGTCTAGCCTGAGCGCTCTTTACCCTTGAGCTGCTTGCAGACAGGAATATCCTTCCTCTCCTCCAGGGCAAATTGCACAGCGAAGCCGCCTTTCAAAGTAAGTCAAGTGGAGAAGTTTAGAATTGCAGGTCAACATAGAGCTGACGTTTTCATTAGCCACCTCCATCAGGAGATCGCAGATTCTTCCTGGCTGTCAGACTGAGCTCTCCGAACAATAAGTCTCACTTTAGTGGTGGCAGGAAAAGTATCTTCTCCAGCCATCAGAGTGCCTTCAGAATGCCTTGGACATGTGAGCCTATATAAATTCTTAGTAGTGATGGCAACTGTTCAGGAACTGAAGCACATAATACTGCAGGAATTGCCTAGTTTCTGGAATTTGGGCATGTAGTGGTCCATTTATATAAAAGAAGCAGAGGTGATTCTAAGAGGGCTTTTTTTTTAAATGTCTTTTGGCTAAATCCAGAAGTCTTTAGTGCTATGCCTGGTGAGGACCAGTCATAACTGATCCGGGAGATAAGAGGAAGAAGGAAAATGGATCAGATTAGCCTGTGAGTTGTGTTGAGAAACTTGCATGTTAAAGGGAACTGCTAAACTCCTGGTGTCATGCTCACAGGTGCTTCAAACTGCAGTTATTCAATGTTCACGCAGAACAAGTGACCAATAACGAGTAATTCCCAGGAAACAAAAATCATAAGATTATTCTATCTTTGCACTCAGARCTAGTTTTATTGGGTAATTCTGTCATCTGGTGAAACGTTGGTGTCAAAGGTATCATTTCCAGCCTTGCCTTGCTTTTCCTCAAGCCCAACRCTGGTGTCCTCATCTGTCCCAAAGGTAGTCATGGGGAAATCGCAGGGTGGGGACGCACTAGCTGAAGGATGCAGCTGGATGGTACCTCCATGTTGATGTCTAGGGTCATCAGCAAGTCCTATGCAGCTTAACACATATGAATCAACAAGAACTGGAGAGATTATCATAGGGATCTTGAAACAATGCTCACTAGGTCTATAGAGTTTATGGAAAATGATAATGACGAAATGATGAAAATGATGTTTACTGCTGCTGCTTGTTTTGGGTTCAGTGACATTCCTCAGATGCTGTCTTCTGCGCAGTGTTGCTCCTCTCTTGTTGACAATAGAAAGCAAATCTTATTATTTATACTTTATCTACGGCAATGATCTTCCTGAGAAAATGCAAGAATTTTAGCCACGCACCAAATCAACATAACAGGTTCTGGATGCCTAAGGCAAGGCAATAAATTAGATATATTGCAAGGTTCAGTGGCTGTAGAAGACCTAAGTGGCTTCAGGGCCTTTGTGGTAGAGCTTATCCAGTTTATCTAAGAGATGAGTCTTATCAAACAGTCAAAGAGATTAGAATATTTCTGACATTACCCACCAGTTTTGGTGCATAACTGGGGACGGGTAACTCCTGATTTTGCAGGTTGTTAGACACTCAGGGGTTCCTCTCAAAGTTAATTGGAGTGTAGGGTTTGCACTTCCTCATAACGGGATGGGGAATCCCACAACCACTGAGAACTTTTAAAGATGAAACTTAAATGATCTGGAATCCCTTTGGAGCGTCTGAAGAGTGTCAATGGAATTCCCACCTGGAAAAAGATGGGATCTCTTCATTTTTGCTCATAATGTTTAATACAGCCCTAAGTAAAATACTTTCAGAAAGTTCCAAAGATGACGCTCCCAAGATCTGCTGGAAAAAGTCACCCGTAAGAGATTTTGATACGGTTGGGTTTGTTGGGTCCAGACACTCTGAATAAAGCACCCAGAAATAGTGATGGCAGTTGGGTTCCTCCTGATCCAAGAAATATTCATCTTTGCAAGACATACCTGACGTAATCCCACACATTTCCCCAACTCCCTTTAAATAATAATCAAGCTGGGTACTTTTCAGAAACAGGAATATAAATATCCAGAATGATCTTTTAGAGACTAGACATGGAAATTTAAGCCAGTGGTATTTGCTTTTTATTTTTTTGGTATTTAATGTGTGATGCATTTAGATCCCCAGGTGTTAAACAGACTTGATCATCATTTACTGATCAAGTTTGTTATTTACAATTTATTGAATTTAACAAAACTTGCTCATAAAATTTGTGTTGACAAGATTGTTAGTGTTCAGACCATGAAGGCAGGTTCTCCCTAGCTACACTGGCAAGAAGCTCGAGRTGGGTTTTGCCTTCAGAGAAAGGGCAAATTCTCTTTACCTCCCACTCAGAATAAGAAAAACGAGTTCTAGGTTCATCTCATTCTTTTCATATAGCAAAAAACGAAGATATTGGCCATGCCTTTGATGTTGTCTGCTGTCGTCCCTTTTAGCCTTTATGACACTTAGTCTTTTGTGCTGAAGTCCTTAGGCTGTCGCTCAGTCTGTGAGCCGGAGTTTCTGAGAGCCCTTCTGGAATAAACATCTCTGAGTTGCTGGCCTGGCAAAGCCTCACTCACTGACTTTCTTTTCTATGTTCCTGTTAAACTTTCTAACTCCATCATCCTTCAGTAACGAGTAGAAAAGACTAGCCTCACTGGAGAAAAAGAGCTTTAAGCTCTACAGGGATACTTGCCGGTCTTCTTTCTCCTCCTAACAGTGTTTTTTATTTACAGGTTCCATGTACGATAGTCTAGCTGATGGTTATGGCTATGGGACATCCCGGGGCAGCTATTATGCCAAAACCCAAACAGGAAACAGCAACTGGGGCTATCCGGTAAGAAATTCTTTTATCTGGGAACTGTGGCATACTCTTGAGGTAGCATAGACAGAAAGCAGCCTCCCGCAGGAGGAGTCAGGTAGTAAGTTAATGGCACTTAGGAAACATGAATGAGAGATTATCCATAGCTATGTCGATTTTAGCCAGTAATTCAGTGCAATAGGAGAGGATCAGTAGATCACAGCAACCAGCATGGAAAATTCTGTATCTGCTCAGTATGTAATTGGAGATTTTACTGTGGATGAGATATAGTTTGGTCTAGGGGACTGCATATTCCCACAACACATTCCCCCAATGATTTGAAGCTATCTGAAAGACTGGTCGCAGGTTCAGATTCTTATGTTTTAGTTAAAGGTTGCACGTCCAAAGTTTGCACGTCCATAGCTCACTTGTAACAGTTTCCAGTTTCGTTTTCTCCAAAAAGAATCTGTTCACATGCACCAAAACTGCTATGTCTACAAGACCGATGTGGTTCAGTGGGGATCATCAGTGGGTTAGCCTTGTAATCGTGTGGCTGTTCCAAATCTAAATGCCAATGCAGACTCTTACGCTATTCTGTGAACTTGGAAAAGATGTGTTGCACTTCTCCCAGGGTGATTTCTAAAGAATACACTATAGATTGTCAGGAAAAAAAAAGAAAGAAAAAAAAAAGACTGTGCTTGTCTTTGCGTGGTCTGAGCTTATGCATTCCACAAAGGTCCTGGTCTTGTCCTTGATGACAGACTTTCAGTGCACTGAGAATCACCAGTTCTTCAAATCACTCCAATGTCTGTTGAGATAACTCRTGTTTTCTCTCCACCTTTGTCCTGTATGATGTTCTTCCTTGCTCTCTATCAGTTGTAATGTAGAAAGAACTCACAGATCTGAGAGTTTAATATGGGAAGAAGAAAAGGCTCCTTTCAACCGCTGTGGACTGACTAACTTTAGGAGCTGTAAAGCAGTTCTTTCAACTATCAAAGGGCTGCACCAGCAGAGGTGCTTATGCTGGCTTCAAGCACAGAGTGATGCTTTTCCTGCTAGCTGCCAACTCCTCTCCTTGTTCATAGCTTCAGCATTCCTCAGCTGCAGAAAGATTTGTCTGTCGTCTTTGTTAATGGCCACAGTGTAGCTTCAAGGCAGACATAATGTCACTGGCTAGGTTTGCATTGCTGTGTTATCTTCCTACTTCCATCATCTTCAGTAGGAAGGACTGGAAGCACTGGCCAGGCTTTGCAATTTTGACCTGCACTCTGTCTGTCAGCTGGTTTCACTATATTTTGTTGAGCTGGTCAGGTTCCCAGGCAGTGGTGTTTTTGCCAGGAGTAAGACCGCAGCAGTGACTGGAGTGGGTCAGAATAAAGGTTAATCGAAGCTAATATCCTGTCACCGTGTCTAAGGCAGTGATGGACCCCTGCAGAAGAGTCTGAGAAGGGCAGGCAGGCAGAGAAGCTTCTCCGTATTTTGCTGTCCACCAGCCAACTGCAGCTCACTGCTTCTGAGGTGGAGCCACCATTAGGTAGATGTTACCACATTCACCAATTCAATGTTGGATGTCACACCAACATTGCTGTTACTGACAAGTGTTTCATGCGTAGAACAACTATGGTTGGTTGGGGTTTTTGTTTGTTTGATTGATTTGATTATTTATTGTCACTTGTATATTGGGTCTTCTTGAAGTASTTTGGCTTTGCTTAGGCAAGGCATAACATTCTTTTATGGCTTTCTTTTATGTTTTACTTAATGTTCTAGCTATTTTACTTAAACAGTAAGGAAGGTAAGTTTGTTTTCTGATGGTGCCTGCAGTGTGTTTTCATTTTATTARCTCCTGATGTTCTTCCCAACTACTGCAACAAATGTTGGATATGTAGAAATGCTAACTCACTGGTAGAGATTCCAGTCCAGCACTGAGGTAGAGGTTTGGGGAATGGCTCACAAGATGACTATGAAGATCAGGACCTCTCCTAGGCATAGAGGGCAGTGCTTATGCCAGTTCAGTCAGTTCTGGCTCACCACTGACTGAGGCACTTCACAGCTTTTCTCTGAAGGGTTCTTCTGCTTTTACTGATCAGGGAAGGTCTTTCCGCAAACCTAAGAGTCTCATTTTGGTGAGGGTCTTCAGGACCTGGGCTAGTTTGGAAAAGGAACTAGGATTCATTGCTGATTTACAGCAAAAATCATCTTACCTAACTTAGTCTATCTGTAAATCTGCCACTTAGTCTTAACAAGTTGTCTATACTCCTCCCATAGCCAACAAAGAGAGAAGTACCAGGAGGTGATTCATCTCCGCTATCTTGGAGATCTGTCAGGTCAGGATGAATCAGCCCCTCTGGATGCCTCCTTCCACTGATAATGAGATTGGAGCAGACACCTAACAGAGGGATGGCTGCAATTAGGGCCAGTGCGTCCCAAGCTCCACTGGCACACTGGAGCATAGAACATSGGCCCCAAATCTGTTTAAAAAGCTTAACAGACACCACACTCCCCAGCTGCACTGAGAAGCCTCCTCTATTTTGCTTCTTTTAGAAAAATATTAAAGATTTACAAAAACACACCGCTGCCAGCTTTCAGCTTCAGTTGTCTTTAAGCTTTGTCTACAGGCTTAATTGAAATTCATGCAGGTTCTAGACACTTAAAAATGCATTTGTAGCCCTTGTTTTGTAAGACATGGACAAAAGAAAAAAAAAGTCTTTTTGAAGACGAAGTTCTTTCCTTACACTATTTTTTTTTTCTGAAAAATCCCAATGGCCATTCAAGATGTATGGTCAAATACAGACATTTAAGGGAAATTATCCAGCGTAGTATTCAGTGACATTGATTGCTCTTAATATTTCTGAAGTTAAAAAAATGTAACAGGCAATTTATATCTAGGTTCTGCAAAAGGAAATAGTTGCTACAAAGCACTTAGGACATATACACACTTCTTATTTGTGGAGGTGACAGTGCAYGCTTGTATTGCCTTAGATTGTTACTCTAAATAACATCTTTTTAAGAAGAAGGTGTGTCACCTGTTCTGCTTCACCCTTCACCTTCACTGAAAAACTATTATTCGTGACTTTGAAAGATTAATCTGTAAAAAAGAGCTTGCTAATATATGTGTTGTCAACAACCTTTCAGTCTATCAACACTCCTGGCTAAAACTTTTGATTTATTCATTACTAAAAAATGATTTTCTGATTACTTCTATTGTGGAGTGCCTCGTTAGTAACATCATTGTAACTAACATTACAGTGAGTAAGTACTCATTACCAGTTTAAGTAACACTGAAATCTATGTATTTACTCAAGGAACAGGCACTCCTCCCCACCTCTGAGCGCTGCAGAGTTGGTCCCCCAGGTTTGGCTGCACTGTTTCTTTGACTCACATCACAGAGCCTGACTCACCCTTCAAGGACGAAGTCCCCAGTCTATCACTAATGTCCCCATTTGCATRGTGACCTCGCAGGAGGCAGTAATGGGTACGTTAGTGATAGCAAGCTTCTATGGGTTGTCTTCTTTCATGGCTAGTTTCATGGCTAGTCAGATACTGTTGAGCCTAGAAGACCTTCAACGACATTTGGCACCATTTATCACAGTGTGGATTATAAGTGGTCACTAGTTCCCAAAGTCATCAGACCATCAGGAATTTAATATGCCATATCCTGATCTGAAGGCCTGAGTGATACCTGAGGTGCAAGTGCTGACTAGAGTTCCTGCAGCTGAACCTGAGGGAACTTTAAAACTAGATATCCGGAGCAGAATTGTGGCAGGAGAGGTCTCAGCATGAGCTGCACCCTTGGYTGTAACCTCCCCACTGCTCAGTGCACTGGCATCTGTTCAGTACCAGTACAAAAGACACCACCACAGTCCATTGGACCATAGTAGTCTTGTAAGTACGCAGACAAAACCCAAGGCAGAGAACATCAAGGAAAGTCAGGGAGCAGAACAGATCTTCCAAGGCTGATTTTTTTCCATCTGCAAAAGTTTTGCCTTCGCTCTGGCTCTGTGGGTTGGCAGATCCAGCCACCATTCCTGTTAGAGAACTGGGACAGAGTTCCCAGGTCCCATGTGTGCCTTGGCACTGTGTGGAAGGTGCAGTAATGGGACAACATGTCCTCTCCATGCTGACTTCCACACAAAGAAAACCTGCAGGGTCTAGGCGGAGGTGACAACTCGTTCCCCCAGGCACTGCCCCGAATGAGGGGAGAGCAGGTCTTTGCCGTGCTGGCCGTGCATCACTGGGAAAGTAGCTTCATCTCTGACGTCAGGGCACTCTTGCTTCCAACCACACGAACAGATCTTCATCCCCAAAGAGCTTACTCAGCCTGTGGGCTCGTTGCTATTGCAAATAACGTTTCCGGGAGCATCTCAGCTCCTAGGCCAAGGAATATTTGGCATGTCTGATGTGGCTGCTGTTGAGGCAGTAACTGAGCTGGATCCTGGCACAATTAGYGGTGGGAGTCTGCTGGCTTCTGCGTCACCAGGGCTCACCCTTTTTTTCTTCAGTCATCACAGCTAGGGTCTCATTTTGACACGAGGGAACTATATGCACTTTGGTGGTCCCTATGCAGTAGAGAACTACTTAGATCCCTAAACAAATTTTCTCTATGGGAGTACGTTGCAGAACTTCTTCTCCAAAATGCATTACCTGCATTAGGGARGCTGACCAGCAGATAGGCCTGCCTGCAGCCCAGCACCATTCCAACRGACAGGAATGCTCCCTGAAATCCCCTCCCTGCTGTCACCTCTGCTGACAAGAATCTGCAGATTTTAGTGGGAGCTTTGTCCTGTAAGGACTTCAGGATGAAATTTGTGATTTACTGTAATGACACACTGAAATAATAACAATAAAAAGGAAYGCATTAAGTAGCCTTATTAAAGAACAAAAGGATTTACAGTTGTTGCACAGCACTGCTCATTCAAACCCTTGTCTCCCCGTGGGATTTTACAAGTGTCTTCATGCTTTGGAGCAGCGTGTTGGACAATGCCTTCCCCTGACAGGACAAACTGAACTATCAACTAAATCACAGCTACTTAAAGGATCAGGTGAAAAATCATACAGAAAGGCAGCATCCCGTGAAGGTGGGAAAGAGTGTTTCTGAAATGGATAAACAATGTATGTGCTGGTTTTGCAATTTTTTTTCTCCATGCAATGGAGTGTGTAGCAGGCAGCAGCGAAAGCATTTCGCAAGCAGCATCAAGAGTTTTCCCCACCCATCACGCAGGGTGGGACGCTGTCATGTTGCATTGCCTGAGCTTTGCCCTCCAGCCTGGGAGAAACCTGCCCTTGACGTGTTTATACGGAGTCCTTCACTTCTCTCTGTCTGCTGCTCTAGAAACAAATTGCAAGGGAAAAAATTAGAGCTAAGTAATGAACTGATCGCGTCCTTAGATGCACAAGTCAGAAACACCCAGTTATCGGGGAGGGCCTGTGACTTGGAAAGGCCGTCCTGAGTCGTGGATGGGATTCCTGGTTCTGGGATGCTGGGTCATCAGCAACTTGCTCCATACTTCACTTTTTCTCTCTGGAAGTTGAGAAGAGAACAGTGACTTTTCCTGTTAAACAGAGGGTTTATAGTAGAAAAGCACCAGAAATTGACTCATTATCAATGACTGAAATACTGCAATGGTGTCTTTTTCTTTCTCTATGGCATTTTTTGAAAGATGAAGTTAAAGATATTTATTTCTCCATTTTCTATGCTGCTTGTTCTAGTTAATGACTCTAAGATAGCTTTGTATTTCAGGCTGATAGCTGGTGAACCCCAAATGCTTGTGAATTTAAAGGCAGGTCTTTATTGTTGCCAGTGAAGGAAAACACCAAATCTCTGGACCTGATAGGAGCACCTGCATGATATCAGGACTCATCTTCACTGCCTTTCCTCCCTGTGTCTCCTCTCCTTGTTTTCATATGAATGAACAGCTCCCAGGGATTGGTTTAAAGCATATAGGCCTGTTTCACAGAGGGAGGAGAAGTTCAGACTAAGATGAAGGATATCTGCATGACGCATTTGCACGTGAGCATCCTCACGTGTCCTGCAAGSACAGGTCACTGCTGGTGGGTGATGATGTCTGGTCAAAGGAGAAACCTGCAAAATCTCCCCAGGGCTACTGAAGTCCTGCAGGAAGAAGAGCCTGAGCTCTTCTAAAATGATTTCCAAAGCTTGGAGTGCAGGAGGAAGCACTGCTTTCTGTCTTTATCCTGATTTGAGGGAATTCCTTGTCCAGGATTCCAGAATTTCTCCACAGTTATAAAGAGAGGAGATGTGGACCTGGCCTACCTTCCCTGTGCAGACATCCACAAGGAGTGGGGAGATGCAGTTCAGGCCATTATGGAATCTAGGTGGTTTCTAAGGTTTGAAAGAGAGAGATTGATTGCTTTCTTTTACTAACGCCATTCTGCATAAGATGAGCTTGTTCTGTCCATGCAATGCAATCAGCAAAGATTATGAGATTGTTGTCAAGTGGATCTTTGTAAGACAGACTACTTAATAACATCACCTTCATCTTCAGAGATGACATCTCTTCTCTGGATGGCAGAATGTCTTTGTTCTTCTTTACTGCACATCCTATCTCACTGATTGCTGCATCAGATAAAGAGATACTAAAAGGGGGAATTGGCTGGCTAAATACCTGAAATGGGGACACGGATGTTAGTTTGACAAAGTTGTGCTTAAGACATGGCCAAGGCCGAGCTCAAGAAGCAATCTGATCAGCTACATTTGCAAGAGAATTCGTAGAACCAATCTGGCAAGCAGATCTGCAATCCGCTGGAGCTGACAAGAGACTCCTCATCGATTTGGAGAAGCTTTGTATCAGGCTCTTGCTGCAAAAAAAAAAGGATTCTAAGATACCAATTAGGTCCGTGCCACTTGAAAGAGATTAAAATGGGCTCAGCCAAGCATCTCGTAGCATCAGCAATAAAAGTCATGCACTGACTTTGGTAATGAGCTTCACATCACACGGGAACTATTTTCCCATGAGTTTGCAAAAGGCTTCCCCGCCCTGCTAGGACCTGCACTAACTTGCAGCTCTGGGCTCCCTGTGTTGCAGAAAGGAGTCTTTCCAAACAGGCGGTCGCTTTGCTTCGCCCTTCTCAGGGCTGCCAGGAAGGAGAACAATGCTCAATGGCACTATAAAACACAGCAGGAAATGCAGAATTGGTAATTCCCACCTATAAATGCAGACACATTCACGCCTTTCCCTGCCCCTTCTGTSGCCAGAGCTCTCATGTGAGTTCACTGAAAGCAAACAATATCTTTAGCTAAATAGTAAGCTTGCTGGTTTCGGTGAATGCCCAGAGGCTCCACATCTCTGCCAAGCTTCTGACAACCCTACAAAATCATCCCAACTTATATACTGACTCATAAAGAAAAACGGCAGGGCTAACATCTGGCAAACTGCTGCCCTGACCTCCGGCCAGCCCTCTGAGCCTGGCTTCTCCACCCAGCTGGTCACGGGCCACCCAAGGACCCTCCTTCCACAGGCTCGTCCCACACTCTCCTCATGGTCCTTGGCATCTCCAAATGCCACCTGCAAGGGTAGAGCTCATGGGGKTTATTTTACCCTGTAAAGGACACAGTTATTCACAGTGGAGCAGATGGTGGCTTTGGTGGAAGGTCACTTTGTGCTCTCGGAGATGGTAGATTTTRCCGTAGCCAAAGAGCAGGGCCACCCTGGAAATGTTTGTGGGCCCCTCTCCGTGGTTGAGGGAGCCCATATGCCTTGTCCTTGCTTTGGTTATCACATGCAAATTTTTTTACTAAATGCCCAGGAGCTCTGCAATATGCACCAAACCTGTTACCTGCTGTTCTGCAGTACTAACAGGTTTTTTCTGTGTTCACTGGAGTAAACACAAAGGGAATTTGTCCTCCTTTTCTCCCCTTCCAGCAATTCACCTGCTTAGATGCAAACCTGCTGAATGAAAATATAAAAATCACTTTGGATTTAGGCTCAAGTGACAGGATAATCTGGGTATCAGTGTAAATGGACTAAAGGGTTTCCTCTTACACATGCCTAATATATAACCTGTTCTGAAAGTTTTCAGCTGTTACTCACCTGTGCAGCTCTCTGGGAAACAGCAGAGAGGATTCACTACATTCCTGAAGATCAGCTTGTTAATGGCAATATTTAGCTTAATTAATTAGCGTAATGACAATTCTGCAAAGTGTCAGAGACAGAAATGATGCTGACTGAGCTCAAGGCTGGGATGAAAYGGGAAAGAACAGCAGGAGACAGGGAGATCCTGCAGAGGATCTGATTCTATAATTAGGATTTCTGTAATTTCTATATCACAGAACGTTACAGAACACCAGTCTTTGTCACATGGTGTATCTTCATTAGAAAACCCAGATTTGTTCACAGAGGCACAGGCATGGAAAAAATCCAYTGCACCAGGTAGAAGCTTGTGCATTGAACCTTTGTGGAAATAATAGGGTGCCATTGTCTTTTCTCTTATAGCCCATGGAACCTGTGGGTGGCTTGGGTAGAAAGAAGCATCTGTAGCCTATCTGCTAAAATTAGGTGAGAAAACACCCCCTCAGTCACAGGCTTTTCCTGCACAAGCTTTTCCAAGATAAATCTAAAAGAGATGAATTCTATGTCACTGTCTTCATTTGGCTCTTTTTATGCCTCTTTGCTGAATACCTTGAAGATCTACTAGCCAGGGTGCTCAGGAGAGTAAGGTGGGAGAACTTGATATCTTTAGGTAAACAGCATTAGAATATCTTTTTAAAAAATATTTTTTCTTTCTGGAGTGTACACCTTAGTGACACATCTTTGACCTGAAGACATCCATGGAGGCCTCCAAATGTCAGRATGGGTATCCAGAAACTTTAATATTGCAGAAGAATATCAGATCCAGTCCTGATTTGTGGTGTACTTGGGGAAATCCAGAGTATCATTGGTGAAGTGGTAGAGTCCTCTGGACAGGGAGCAGGACAGATAAAGCCATTGTTTCTTTTGATTAATTTCTTTTTTTTAATTTTTTTTTTGTTTTTTTTTTTCTTCCTTTTCCCCCCATTTTAGTGACTGTCATTTCTTGCCTCATCATCCTCCTTGTTCTTGGAATATCACATCGTGTGAGGTGATACTACATGCCTTGCAATGCAGAAGCATTGCCCAGCTAGCACAGTGGGATTCAAGGTTACCTTTTAACCACCTTTTCCCACCCTTTTCTCCCTTTCTAAGGAATATATACATGGAAGGTGAACAAAAGATAAGAAAATTAAAAATAAGGACAGGCAATGCTGGAAGGGCAGAAAGGGGCCCCATTCCCCGTGGTGACAGAGACGTGCCATGGCCTTTCACATGACATTTATATGGCCAATAGGTGAATGTCTGCTGCAGGCACTGCACGTAAACCCTCACTGGCTGGTGGTAACGATGAGCTCTGCAGGATGAACTTCAGCATCTCATGAGGCTCATGCCTAGAACTAGTCATCTCAGTGTAGCGYAGGTTTGCCTGTGGTGCCCGGCTTTCACTGTGTGTGCACAAGGAGACTGTCACTGCTCTTCTTCCAGGCTCATTCAGCAAGGGGTTGGTTGGGAGACTGGACCACAAGCTCTCTAGAAACATAGCAGTTTGGCAGCTACCCATGGAGTGTGGCTTAACAACACTGATCTTCAGTTCAATCCTTTCCTAATTTTTTTCTYCTGTTTTCTTGTCGATCAGCTGTACAACGGGACGCTGAAGCGGGATGTGGAGAACAGGCGCTACAGCTCCTACAGCCAGATGGAGGGCTGGGGCAGCAAGCACTACAGCAAGGCTGCGGTCTGCAGCCCCGCCAGGGCCGGCAGCGACTACTGCTTTGTGCAGAACATCAAGAGCAGCCGGAGCGAGCCGGACCTCTACTGCGAACCACCCCGCGGCACGCTGAGGAAGACTCAGGTGGGGAACAGGGCAGAGCACAAGGCAACCCTGAACCGCCAGAGCATCTACAGCAGCTGCAGCACCCAGCAAGGAACTACCAGGACAAGTAAAAAAATGCCAGCGCGGGCCCTCTCCTGCCCCTCCAGCAACAAAGCCGACGTRGTCTATGCCCAGCCTATGATGAGCAGCAAGCAGGACGTGGTTTATGGACAGGCTCAGTCCAGCTCCAAGTAAGTCTCACACGGTGGGATTCATCTAAGTAAATGTAGACATCTGATATGGAGGCTTGTCCAGTTAGTGGCTTGAACTGTTTTTTAGCCAGTGGAAATCTGTTCACTGGTGCAGAAAGTACTCATTCTTGTCCTGCAGTAGAGTGTCAAGTAGGTCAGATGAGTCACACTCATCTAATAAAGGGCTTGTTTCTGTTTGCTSACTGTGAATGGGGACCAATCTGACGGGCTCAGTGCAAATGTCTCTGTTGCAGCTGTGTGACATTAGCCAGGATGATGCCCTAGTCTCCAGTGCTGTTGTCTTACAACTCCTTTGTAGGATGAAAGTGAGAAGGTGAAGAGAAGAAAGGCCAGCTTGCAGTTCAGGTGTCTCTCCTGCCTGGCACAGCACTCTAATTTGGTAGAAATTCCCAGTAGAAAGCTAAAAACAAAAAATATAGCCAGCTTTGAAAGGATCGATCCCTTGGGTTCAGGACTAAGAGCAGAGCATTTACCCTTCTGTCTTTGTAGACACTCCTTATTTCATTCCCAGAGAGGTCTGACTGATTGACTGATTCACATTTGGGAAAATAAGAGTCAGAAATTGGGGAGGAAAAAAAAAAAAAAAAAAAAAAAAGCCCTACCTTGGCTAGAAGAATTTACCAAGCCTTAAGAGAAGAAGGAATCTAAGTTGTACATTTTCATCCTATCCAATGCATCCAACCCCATGAGTGTTAGGAACCATGCAAGTGTGGAGGGTTGTCATTTGTGTCTCACTTAGCACCAGATCCTTCTTGCAAATGTTGCCTACAAACAGTAGGCATGTAATACACACCATAGAGCTCAAAACAGTTATTCCCTGTGCAATGCAGCACAGCYCTCAGAAAAAAAGGAAAAGGTGGGATTTTGATGGCATTGCAGGAATACTAGTTGAACRCTGCCCTGAAGCTGTCCTCTGTGCTATCACCAAATCTGTAGCATGAACCATGTTCTTCTGCTCACAGGAGTCCTAGAAGACATTTAGCTCAAGTCCATAATGTTTTACTCACCTAGAGAAACAGGGTCTATATCTYCTGCAGGTATTCCCAGAGGCTTTGSCCTGCCTTTGCAGCATCAGTGTCATAGAGGGCTTGCTCTGTGTCAGCCAGATATTACCACCCTCTGCCCCATGGACGGGACAGGCTGTCCTACAAAATATGGAAGTTCCTGAGCTCATTTCTGGCGATCTTTGGTAACTCCTCTGTGTTATTAAAAAAAGAAGTTTTGATTTCCAGGTTTCTCCATGGATTTGGTGAATGCTTTGCTCCACCCCCCTCATTTCAAACTGCATAGGAGACGTAAATCCCAGAGTGAGGATGCCAAGAAACGTCATTTGCCTGTTTTCATGTTGCTGCTTTCCTTGTGCTCAGTTCCCTTAAGTTTAACACATGCACAATTAGCCCTGATCACCTCCAGCACAGAGCACTGGTGGGGTCAGTTTGCTCATCTCAGAAGCTTTGTAATTCCTGCGGAATGGACGACAGAGACACTATGAAAACGAGAAGTAACTTGTCCCAGGGAATTTCTGACTAAAGAGTGTTGAAGTGTGAGGGGAGTGACAGATGAATGAGGGAATATGGGATAGCTGCTGCTTTCTGCATAGGGAAAAATGTGGATTTGGAGCAGTTAGTTCCAGGTGGACAAACTTTCTTGAAAGACCTACATGACAGAACCCACAATTTCAGCCTTGGTCGTTGCTTTGGAAGGGTCACTTGAAGAATAATTAGGTTTTCTCCAGAGAAGGAGAACTACTGTTGTGAGAGGAATATTCTCCAGCACTGAATGCCCTCTGGTTAGGGAGTGGTTGCTTTTATAGACTTCTCCTGGCTGGGGGCATTGCTCGTCTGGCCGAACTGGTTCTCATGTGGAAACGTCAGGCTTGAAGTCGTAGGCCCAACAGGGGCTGTGTCCCCTGAGTAAATCTGATCTGGCTGGGGCACCCCTCCCTGCTCCCAGTGAAACTATCTGCAGAGCTGGATTCGTTTGGGGAGTACAAGTGATTCTGCTCCTTACTCAAAGGAACTGAGGCTGGCTACAGTCATCCTTATAATTTCAGAAACTTATTAAGGAGTTGTCCTCTTTGAAAAAAATGTAGTGATTTGGAAGGCCAGTCCTTCTTTGAAAGCAGGTTATGGCAGCATTGTTGTTCTCCTTGGTCTGGAGTGTGGTTTTAGGACTGTGCACTCTGCCATGTAGGACTGTTTCTGCTTGGAGAATTCTGTACTTGGAGATATTGATCTTTATTTGGGTGGCCTGATGGTTGGGTAGGGACGGGTTTGCTTGTAGGCATCCCATTGTTAACATCTGTATTCAGGAAGAGCTTAGCTGGGTAATAGYTAGAACTCATTCTGGGATTCTGTTCTTTCTGTTCTAGTAGTTCTTAAGGTAGAGCTTTTGTCTTTAGAACCATTTAGGACCATGGTGTGTTTCAGTTTCATGCTTCCTATTTCCTGCGTAGGTGGGTAAGTTGTCCATAATTTGGCTTGGCAAATCATATCTGTTGGGTTAGACTATTTCCAGCCTTTCAGAAGTGACAGGATAGGACAGTTCCTCTTGCTGTAGGAGTGATGATGGTGGAATCTGAGATCCAGTGGATCTGTTTTAATACAGGTCTGCTCTGTAATATAGTGACTCTGGACGGGGTCAATAATGGTTCAAGAGCTCTTCAGATGCCTCATGCTACATATCTAATCTTCTGCCCAGATAGTGTAAGATGCAAAAGGAGACACTGGATATTCTCAAGTAGTGATATTAGCATGTGGGTATCAAAATATGGAGTTTGTAAGAACCATCAAAGGCTGACTGAGCAGTCTCTATAGCAGAAATGTATTCGATCACAAAGTTACTTAATTCTAGAGCTCTTCTTGATTGTGTGGTTGCCTCCTTTAATTGAGCAGGTTTTCCATGTCTACAGCATTTCCTTTTAGGAAACAGAAAGTTGTCTTGGACAAACATCTCTCAGAAGAGGACTTCCTCATGCAGAACAAATGACGGCTGAGGAAAGTACCTTTCCTCCAGCTAGGTGATAAATAGTAAATAGTTTAACATCAGAATGCTTGTTGTTGACCCTTTTTTTTTGTTTTGTTTTTAATCATGTCCTATAAACTAAAGCAAGTGATAGGATGGTAGTTACCCCAAAATACTGGCTCTAGTGATGAAATCTGCATTGTTCAGGTCAGGAGACTATTCCAAAGGTAGTGGTTCACTTTTGGAAATGTCCTCTTGAAGTACCTTCTTTTCAACCACCCATCATTATGACGCCACCTCTGTGAGTAGAGAGGGACTTTGTCATGTTCCTTTTGGACATACTTCTCTGAAGCTGGTCAGGGGCTTTCTGGAAAGTCTTTGTGCGTTTATGTTATGTCAGATTTGCAACAGTATTTCCAAAGTCAGCATCTCCGACCTGGGCTCAGAAGCTCATGGATTATTCTGATAACTCCTAAAGTCAGTTCCCAATGTACACCATTCACATTTTTTCCAGAATACAGCCTTTTTGGAGTAGATATTCTTATCTAATAGAGCCAGAGGGGGATTTCTGGTGTCCACCCCCTTCTCCTCAACAKGCTTCTCTACTTTGTACTCTCATGGCTTCTTACAGACATGCAACCTTTCACGTGGGGAGGCAACAGCAAAAGTGGTTTCAGTAACTGATAAACACTGGGCGTATTTGCCTGCTCTTAACCACTTTCTCTGACTGATGGCGTTTGCTTTCATTTTGTCATGCTCCAATGACTGTGTGCCATYTGGAGCTAGCCAGCTTCTAGCTAAATGACATATTGCAATTCAGCAGTCAGGAGAAGTTTTTTTACACCTTCCTCGTCCATCAGGTAGTGGAAACAAGAAATAGCAATCAAGTATGTGGTGTTTATTGTGTCCTAGAAAATCCTGGGTCTTTCTTCCACTCAAGCTGAAAGTCAAGGTGCAGAAAAACTATTTCTGCCRCTAGCTAATCTTGTTTTAGCATTGCTTCCAAATGTGTTGCATTGCATGCTTCAGATACCACACATACAGTCCAGGCTCCATCTAGGTTGGTGATATGGACTGAGTGTTGGTCTGCAATAGTGTGTGTAGCAGTAAACTAKTTATGTGCATGCCCCTCTGTTTTTGATGCCTGCATATGAGCTGGTGGCCTGGGTTCTTGCTGCTACAAGAGATGCATGCATGGGCCAGCAGAGCTGAAATCCGAGGCAGGTCAACAAGTTACCCCTGACAAAGTCAGCATCTTCCTCTTGACTTCAGAGGAAACACAGGTGACTGAGCAGCAGACGTTACTGTCAGGTCAGACCAGTCTCACCCTTTGTGAAGGATTCAGAGTGCTCACATTTGTAAAGGTGAAGAGATGGCCTGGGGAGTCTGCAGCCATTCTCCAACTGGAGTGGTGCTGATGTTGATCAGGAGCCATAAATGGACATCTACAAAATGTGTCGTCTTCTAAAATAGTCCATGACTTCATTTTTAGATATTGTTGATGGATTTCATTCTGGCATTCTCTGTGGAGGGGAGAAAGAAGCTAAAATGTCTCTTTAGAGTTCTCACGAAAGTGAAGGGCTCTCAAGAGACTAGGACAATCCTTTGAATTTTTAATATTGCAAAAACATCACTCAAATATGACCAAATCTGCCTATGGCAACATCGGCTAGCCCAAGACAGGCTACAGCAGTTGCTGTACAGACTGTTGTTAAAGTTTAGAGGCAGTAATTGTGTGTCCTGGAACCGTTCATTCCTTGTCAGGAGCTCAGGCTCTCTGGATATACAACGGGCAGCAAACAGAGAGAGTTATTGGAAAAAAAAAAAAAAAATTAAAGGAGGGGAGAGGTGCTTAAGGTATTTTTTTTATAGATTTGTTTTAGGGATAGGAAATTAGGACCGAAGAAGATAAGTATAAAAATATAGTTTCTCTCAGGCTATGCCATACAGTGAAAGCAGAGCCAAGTACAAAGATTGTCATCTTCACTTTGTTTCATTCTTACTTGAGATAAACTGCTTCTGAAAATGATAGCTTATCAGTACTGGTCCCGTGTGATTTGGGCTTGTCTGCGTTGTGTATTTACATCCAAAGGAACTGCGGAGGAGCTGTGCATGATGCTGCCCTGACAGGGTTCCTATAGCAGGATTGCACATGGAGAGGATCCTCTCCTCCTGGGCTCCGTGTCAATCTGTGCCCATCTCCCTGGTATTTAGGAACTAAGCAGAGCCTGCGGGAAGGCTCCAGCCTTGCTCTTCATGGCACCAAGGTCTTGGTGGAGAGTTCCAGTAACAAACGTGGCTGCTCAGCGAGSAGCATGGCCTTTAAGTTTGATTTGGTCAGATGCCCTAGAAATGCCTGGATGCCCTAGAGAGATGCAGCCATATGTTTGAGTGTCTTCACTCTCAGTTTGTTAATGAATAATGGAATTTCTTAGAAATTTCTGTTTTCCTCCTCTCCTGGGACTCATAGCCTTAATTAGATTAACACAAACCAATTTGCTAAAATGAAATGAACCAAAGTCCTTAGTATCAAACTAATGATAGAAAATTTGCCTTTCTGTGATACTGATCCTATTAAGTATTTGTTTCCCTTCCAGACCTGAATCTGATCATCTAATTTGTCTTGTTGAATCATTTCTAATTGAGGTCTCTCCCTGTTTTGATTGCTTCTTTATTGTGGAAGAAGAACAACCCTTGGAGTTCTTCCTACCAGGCACTTTGGCCCAGGTTGGAGATGGCCACAGCCCAAGAATTTCTCTTGGAGCGGGCTCTTATTCACGTAGTGTTGAACTGGTTAGGAATAGCCCTGGCTGGCTGATGAACAATCTCCCTATTAGCACAGGCTGTTTTAGGGTGATTATATTCTTGACTAGGAGAGATCACTGCTTCTAACTTCTCCAGTGACATGACAGAACCTAGCTGCTCATTCCCTCTGAACTTCTCCTGTTGTGATCCAGCAGAGGAAATGGATTYTGCTTAGACGTCTTTTCCTGTGAGGAAATGGACCTGAGTTTTTCAGTGGTGAAATAGAGTTTGCCCCTCTTGTGCAGTGAATGTGTAGAAAATTGCCATCCTTGAGTAGCTGGACTGGAGGGACATCTGTCTCATAAAAAATGCTTGTGGATTGAGGTTTTCCTTAATATTGGGAATATACAAAAAAAAAAAAAAAAAGAAAAACAAAAACAAAAAATATCTCCATGATTGCTCCCTCCTTCCATCTCTAGTCTATCAGACCAGATCCATGTTCCCAAAGTCAAAATCCCTTTGGTTCCATTCCAGCTGGGACCTATGGATGTTTCAGCAATATTGTGTGTCTGAGAGCATGAAAAGACTAAGAGAAAATCAGAGCATTGTGAACCTAAAAACTACTAAATCAAACCCAAGTTTAAACTCCAGTTTAAACTTTTTCCCTCCAATTCTGTTTCCTCAGTTCAAGTTCGATGAAAGGTTATTGGAGCCGAGTTTTGATAACAGTTCAAATGATGAAGAACTATATGATTAAGTGATATGATTTTATTCTTACAGTAGAAATGGAAATGGAATGATGTTCATCTAACCTTGGCTATTGAAAGCTGAATGTCCCATCCAAGATCATCATCTCAGATTCCTGCATATCAACAGAGGTTTCTCCAGAGGGAAAGTCCTCTTATCTTAAGATAAATGTCTAAGACATATAAGCAAATTGTTCTTTGAAATCACCAGTTTCTTTTCTTTCCCTGCACAGGTGCATAGATGAGTAAGTTAAACTGAATGCAACTTTACTAGCAGGGAAAGGGGAGTAAATACTGCAATAGTCTCTGTTGCTGTCTTCCAGTATTGCATCATTATTGTTGACTTTTGATATTTTGTATGACATTTGTTATAGACTGGCCTGTGCTGTGTCAAGGGGAGAGTCTTTTGATATTTAAAATATTGCTTTTATAGTAAACTGCTGATCCTTTCTAGGATCAGCTAGGATCTCCTTTCTATGTAAAAATAAAAAATCACTTTTACAGTTCTTTGTCACAGCCAAAATGAGTCTGCACATGCTGTTCATGATAAATCAGTCCCTTCTCGTGATTAATGCTTGTGATTAATAGGCTCATTTGAAGGTATTATAAAACTCCCCACTAGTCTCAGCTGTACCTTGAACGAGGAATGATCCCAGTCAAGCAGCAGAACTGTCAGGTCATTGTCCTAGTGAGTCTCCCACACTTTTTGATTTCATCTACTGTTAACAAAGTGTTTCCCATTTGTTTYCTATCACAGCTTAAATACTAATAATCATATGGGATATTGGTTTTTGAGTCTTCTCTGTTCTGAATTTTATGTTGTTTTTCAGTTCATGTGAATTAATGCTCCYATGAGCTGAGACCAGAGCTGAAGGCCTAACAGATAAGGATGCTAAAAAGAAATAATAGCTTTTTCCAGACTAAACTGATATAATTGGAGAAAATAGACAAGTTCTGTAGTTCAGAACCCCTTCATCAGTCTGCAAATCTGTGCCTTTTTCTGTTAGCTTGGTAGCAATACTGCTGAAGACAGATGGATTTTCTAAACAGTGAGACAAGTCTTCAAATGTCTACATTTTTCCCAAACCCTTCGTTCCTGCTCCAAACCAGCGTTACTGATAATCCTCCTCTGGATTCCTTTATCATTCTCTTTTTGAGACAGGTACAGATGCTAGAGGTGCACCTTATGGTTTGTATGGTGATGTGATCGTGTTTTTGCTGTATGTTTGATTCCTTCCTACTAATTCCTAGTACTGAAGTAGCTCTTTTGTCTGTGCCTGAGCACCAAATCAATACTGTATTTTTCTTTAACTTAGAATATGTGGTGATGAAATAGATGGCGGTACAATGACCATCCAGAAAGCCATACAGCTTTTGTGCTCCTCCGATGACAAATACCAAGCCATGGGAGCTTACTACCTCCAGCACACCTGCTTCCAGGACGAGTCTGCCAAGCAAGAGGTGAGCTAACTTCTTCATAGCTCTTCAGTCACGTTGTATGTGAGGGCACACTGGTTGGATGAAACTGGTCTCCATCGGTGCCTAGTATCCTTAGCTCCTCTTCATTTTTATTATAGACTCTCAAACTGTGTTAGTTCCACATAGGAATTAATTAAGTGGATTTTTGAACTATTAGTGGCTACTTTCTCTTAATAGCAGTGTGATTAGGATTTAACACAAGGTAATAGTTGCCAGATAGCAAAGGAGACTGTGGCCACATTATYGGTATAGCCCTCTGTGACACAGACATGTGGATTTAGGTGATAGGAGAAGCCACCCGAATGCTCTGCTCTCCTGCATGGAGCCTCCTGTCCTCTTGGAACCACGGTTTCACATGAATATTCTGCTATTTCAGAGCTGCAGGGTCCAAGTCATAGAGAATTGCCCCRAATCCTGCTGCAGTCTTTTCACTATGCATTGCTCAATGATGTTTGAGCCATCCGCCTAATCCACTGGATTAGTCAGTGATCATATATAAAGATACTTAATCAAACAGAAGGGCTTCTCATAACACGGCTTATTTTTCTTCTGTTCTTATTCTCTAATTGCTATTTCTATGGCAATACACCACAAAGGAGGCAGCTTAAAGGATGGATCTGCTGCAGCAACACTGTCTTACAAAAGCTTATCCAATCCTGACCTGTTTGAAAATGTAGATTTCTCAAGATGGCATCTGTATAAACGTGGCTTTCTATTTTCTGGCATAGTGGCGAAGTCAGGCTGGCACAGTGCATGAACCCACCCATGAAACCTTTGTCCCCACTGCAGCTGCAGACTGTGTTATAGTCCCTAACAGTGGTGTGACCTCTCCCTTCGTTACCATTGAGAACACACTGGCCTGCCCCATCGCTTCCCAGAAGGAAAGGATGTGTTAGAGCAAGTACACAATGAGTCATCTGAACACATGATTGTTTTGTTTCTTTTGTAAAAGGCGCTCGTTCATTATCTATTGTCAGCACATCTTCAGCCAGTAGGTTTGTTTGTGCAAGTAGGAGCTCCACTGAGACTTAGGTCTCCAGTAGACCTGGCGCGGGAAGGAATCCTATGGCAGGAAGCTTCTTTATTTCAGAAAGCCTCAGCTGATGGAATTCACATGGCTTACAAACCCTCCCTACATGTATATTATTTCCTTGAGGTCTGGATTTGCTTCTGTTTCCAATGTGGCCTGATGTGCCTTCCCATTTTGGTACCAGAATATGGCCCATTACCAGTTGACCTCCAGGGCATTTACACTGTACCACCGTGAGCCACCCCTCTAGTTCGACCTGTGAATTTAGGATGTAAATAAATTACCACGTTGCATTATTATATTGCTATAGATGTCCTTTGCATATTTACAGGGCCTCATTTTCACCTGACATAAATGGATGGAAGTAGTGGGAATTTGTGGGAGCAAACAGTGCTATGTTAGTGAAGGATTTGGTCTATGGCTSATATGAATCCATTGTAAAAAGCTAAATTTAAATCTCTAGGGCAGCACCCAACACATATGGCCTGAACAAACACATTGTTTGCAAGTTCCAGTCATTCTTTACTGCCAAGAATATCCGACTGTTACAGTTTTCCTTCTCTGAGCAGTGTTCTGCACACCACGTTGACGGTAGTATTCTTTTTTTCGTGGCACAGGTCTATCGTCTCGGGGGAATCGCCAAGCTTGTTGAACTGCTCCGCAGCACAAACCAGAACGTTCAGCGAGCAGCAGCTGGAGCTCTCCGAAATTTGGTCTTCAGGAATCCAACCAACAAGATAGAAACACGACGGCAGAATGGGATAAGGGAGTGTGTGAGCCTTCTCCGCAGGACGGGGAACACAGAAATACAGAAGCAATTGACAGGTRCAGTAGAGATTGCCAAGACCCCCCTGGTTGATGTCAGCCCAAAGCATAAGGCAGTGGGGATCCTGGCCCTTTGATATCCTGYAGGAACTTTCCATGCCCCAAGTGTCCACTGGGGTTGCGTCTTCCCCAGATTTCCCTCCACAGCTGTGGTCACACAGACATTCCCATGCCTTCCTACAGCCTTGGCCCCTGCGCTGTTCCCGGGGAAGGCCCAAGGCACTGGTTACCTCCAGAAGGACGGACAGGTTGTGTGGATGGTGCCACAGGCTTTCTCGAAGGATTCAAGATCCTTGAAGGATTCAGGATCTCAAAGGATTCAGGTCATCCTCAGCAGTGCTTGAGATCCTGTGTTTGAACCTTCATTAGATCTCTAAAGAGATGCCTTTCCCTTGCTAAATGTATGTCACTAAACATCAGTTTGGGCAGGAAGAATGCTCAGATGCCCACCTGCACATGGTAAAGGGGTCCCTTCTGCCATTCTCCTGTTGGGATGGACAGAGACTATGGTTTAGCCTCTACCCCTTATTAGCTCAAGGAGTGAACAAGGATTTTGTTGTTGAGATTCACCCTGATCTAGATGAAGTTCCTACTGCATCAGTTCCTACTGACCTTTCTGCTAAGACTTGTCTCTTATTATTTCCTTTATAGGACTGCTCTGGAACCTCTCTTCCACTGATGAATTGAAAGAAGAGTTAATACAGGAGGCCCTCCCTGTCTTGACAGACTGTGTTATCATCCCTTTCTCTGGCTGGTCTGATGGTGGCTGCAATAGAACAAGAGAAATTATTGACCCAGAAGTATTCTTCAATGCTACAGGGTGTTTGAGGTGAGTCATGAAGCAGGGATTTGCTGTTGACACGAGATGAAGATGTCTAAATCCCCTTACAATAGCTTCATTAATAGCTTTACAGTGAGTGTTTTTACATATTCTCGAGAAAGTTTTCCTGAATAGAGGGAGCAGAAAAACTTCGATGTAAAATACTTCTAGCAGGACAGTATCTTCTCTCTCTTTTTTTTCTTCAAAATAAGTTTGTCCTCACAAAATCTCTACTCAAAAAATGCAAGAAACTTGGTACTTTTGGGCCTTAGAGTCCAAGGTTTTCAAATGGAATTTTGTTTAGTTGCTGGAAAAAAAGTCCATTTTTTTTAGGTGATAATAGAAAGAATTCTCTATGTAGAGAAAACAAGCATTTTCCCACYGGTTTTAATTGATTTTAATAACTGTTTAACTACAAAATATTCTCATTGCCCTGGACCTTTCCTAGCGCTCATTGACATTTGCAACTTACTGTCTACCAGCTCATTTCAGCACATGGCTCAGCTACAGAATGGGAGGGGTATATCAAGCTTGGAGTACATTATCTTTTCACAGAAAAGCCAGAGTCCTTTTGTAGGAGATCTTCGTCCTGACTTGCTGTTTCTCCTACCATCCTCCTCCACTTGGATGCAAGCTTCTTGTCTCACTGGGAACAAGGAGAGAGAGAAAGAGAGAGAGAGAGAGAGAGAGAGAGAGAGAGAGAAAGGCAGTATAATTAGGTACTTTCATCAACTGAAGCTCTCCCCGAGGGAGCGCGGAGCTGACCGCACCCTTACCAGACATGCAGCTGGTAGGAGCTGTAGCTGCTTATGAAACAAAATGGATGAATGCAGTAGGGGCCTTTGAGACTTGATATGATCGTCTTTGGAGGCTGGGAAACGTGTCTGAAAGACAGCGAATGCAGCTCCTTTCCCTGTCTTGGAAGAGAGCCTTTCTCGTGCAATTGCATGTCAGAGTGAATGGTTTATGTAGCACATAGGAGATATATGATATATATTTTAGATGAACTCCACTTACGAGATTGTCYAAATTCGCCTATGCCACAAGGTAGTCCATTAAAATGAGGAAAGGAGTATGACGTTAGAGCCCATAAAAAGGGCTTTCAAAGTAGTTTAACTCAAGACAGGCTCTGTCTTCTGAGACTTGTTTATGGCAATCTGTGATACATGGCACCACCACTAACTACTGTCAGACTGCAGGTCAGTGAGGGAGCTCACCAGGGCTCAGAGAAACAGAACTCAGGAGCACCCAGAAGAAGGAAGGCAGAGTGGTTGGGTCCGGAGCCCCTGCTCCAAGGGCTGAGCCTGGAGAGCTGTGACTCATTACACTGCAACACCAGAACGCAGGGATGAGAACAGCCTGGGGTTTGCCCCAAGGTCGAGCCATTGCTGCTCAAGCATTTCTGGATTGCAGATGAATTCATGTTAATGAGGAGGCTGCAAATCACAGTGAACATCAAATCCAGTTCTGGGATGCCTGGAGTGACTATCTCACAGCAATTGCCAACCTCTCTTGTTTTTCATCTGCAAGCGACAAGGCTTTAAAACAGGGAAAAAAAAAAAAAAAAAAATATATATATAAAAAAATATATATATATATATATAAAAACATTTCCTGTTACTGTAAAAACTCCTCTGTCCCAGCAGCAACCTGACAGAGTGCTCAGGAATATGTTATACCCTGGTCAGTCCCTCTGATCAGAGTTCTTGCTGCGCTTCATCATACCTGCCAGTGTTTCCCATGCAAATTTCTGTCAACTCTGTGTAGCTCCATGGTCACAAACATTTACACATTCCTGATTTCCACAATAATTACAGATGGTCTTTAGTCAGTCTTCTCTTTGGAAACACCTCCAAAGAGGCAATCAACCTGTGCAATATCACATGCATAGCCTCTAAGGCATGAAAACTATTCATGATAGAAGAATGTCTTCTATATAGAGCTCTTTAATAGGACATTTTCCCAGATGAAAGCCATATAAAAGAGCAACATGAGAGCTACACAGGTTCACAGAAGGSCTGCAAAATGAAAGCAATTCACCACCTTGATGAATTCTGGAAAAAAAATAAAATCCACCATGCAAGGCTGAGAAAGACTTATGAGTGAACTCARTCTGCTTTCCTCCTTCTCTCCTGATATGCTTTTCAATGTCCTCCTTCAGAAACTTGAGTTCTGCAGATATGGGACGCCAGACGATGAGGAATTACCCAGGCCTGATTGATTCAGTCATGACCTACGCCCAGAACTGTGTGGCTTCTAACCGACCTGATGATAAGGTACCAGATGCTTCTTCCAGACTGTCTGCTAGAGTTTGGTCCTAGCAGGCTCACAGTTAATAATTGCAACCTTGAGAATATCTCATAATCCCTTTCAGGGTCAAATGCAAGAGGGCTCTGAGCTCCTCTTGTCCTACCAAATCCCCTTGTGGTCTATTGTAGGACTGCAAAGTCTCTGTGCTGTTGACCTGAAGTAGATGTGAGTTTTACAATTTCCCTTCACCAGACACAGAACCATAGAAAAATATTTTGGTTCCTGAGCCCCCAGTATGCTTCCCTACCTTGCCCTCCCACCCCATGATCCTTCTGGCATCTTGACCTACATCTCTTGGTTTCCCCATTACAATTGCATTCCTACAGCAGGGTTTAAGTTTATAAAACCCAAGTGGACACCATACATAATAAGAAGCCAGAAGCTGGCATCCTTCCCCACTCCCCAAACTGTGGCTCTGGTCATTGTGTATAAATGACACTGGAAGTAAATGCATGTCTGTATGTTTTGATGTTGGCTAGAGGTATTTAGCAAATATCTAGCAAGATCACATTTGCTAATTGTTCAGTCGCAGGGTTCTATCACCCTAGTTCTTGACTACTCTGTGTCCTTTTGATGGAACATTCGGTGCTCCATTAAGCAGGGTCAAGGGCTTATACAGTGGAACACCAAAAAAAAAGATAACTATGTCATGGTCTGTGTCCTCTCTGCAGCTAGAGCAGGTATTTTCCCATTTTTCTGTCTAATGTAATGCTTGTATCTTTCTTCTGGGGGTGACTTCAGTCTGTGGAGAATTGCATCTGCATCCTGCACAACCTCTCCTACCGCCTGGATGCTGAAGTTCCCAACAAATACACTCAGCTCAACCACATGGCCCGGAGTGTTTATATGGACAAAACTCTCACAGGCTGCTTCAACAGCAGGAGTGGCAAAATGGAGGTAAGAGATGCTGCAGAGGGCTTGGAAACGCGATTTTCAGCCCCAGGCAGAGGCTGCCAGCAAGGAGCAGCATCTAAACATGCAGTCTCTCATCTCTCTGTAGAACGATGAGTATGGCATCCCCCTTCCTGAGGAGGATTATAAACCTAAAGGACCCAGCTGGCTCTACCACTCAGATGCCATCCGCACCTATCTGTCCCTGATGGAGCACAGCAAGAAGGATGCCACTTTGGAAGCTTGTGCTGGGGCCCTGCAGAACCTCACTGCAAGCCGAGGGCTGGTAAGCTCTCCTTTTTCTTCTCTGTCACATGTGTCCCAACATGTCAGCACCTTACGGTCATCAGAAGAAAAATGCTCTTATAGAATTTCAGGACATTTATCACAACTATTTCCATATCAGGTGCTCCAGCTTAGGTTCATATGTAAACTCCAAAGATATCATCTCGTGGGGAGGTATAATCAGTGACCCACAGGATCTGCACTCTATCTATATACTGTTCCAGGGGAACCTCTGTGTTTCCTGGTCTGCTACTCACAACACAAGCATCTGCTGATATTGGTCCTCTCACCCTATGGCTCCGGCATGCGTTTGCACAGAAGTACAGATGTGGACAGTTCTCATTAAATTTTCCACAAGAGAGAAAGGACATAAGTCAGCTGCTTGTCCATGTTTTTATAGTGGGAGGTGACTCTAATAACAGGGTGGGTTGTACTGTGGATTGTAGAGCATGCTTACATCGGAGATACTCATAAGCATCACAGGTGCTCCTAGTCCTCTTGTATGGCAGTGTAGAGGTGATACAGGCTGCGTAAGGCTGTGAGTGTTGCAGGGGCTAGGGCATGGCCAGTGCCACATCACAACAACATCTCTGTTTGCAGTGCCCAATATCACTATGGCATGTCCTCGCAGGCTGTGTTCGTGTGGACAAACCTCAACTTGCCTGTTTGTGTCGAACTTCATCAATTTTAATTTAAATAAGATGGCTAGGTAGATAAACAGCTAATTATTTTGTGCACAGGAGAGGTGTGTCACGTGTGCAACGTGTTCCACCCAGAAACAGACTGACTCACTAAAGGAGCCTTTGCTGCCAGGATGACATTAAACTGCCAGTGCCAGTCCCCTCCTGGGAGCTGTTATTATAAGTCTTTCAATGCGAAAATGCTTTTTTMTTATTTTTTTTGCAGCTTAAGTAAACAGTGCCACTAACAACAGGAGGGAGGGAGCCTGTCATGGTGTGAGGCAGAGCTGTTTGGAGAAATGGGGCTGGAGCTGTGTACTACATAGGAATGAAAAGGATTTCAGCAATCGTTGCAGAAAAAAAAAAAGCCTTTTTATAGTGGAAAGAAAGCAAACAAAGAGAAATTATTGACTGAATTGCAATAACTAATTTTAGCTTTTTGAAGAGAGTAAGTGGAATTTGCCAGAACGCGCAGAAATAGCGTTTACTTTCAAAGCTCTTATTACAGCTCAGATCTGGAGTTGCAATGGTTTGTTATCACTTAAGGAAAAAGAAGACTGGTGAGAAGCTTGCCAAGTGATGTTATTAACCCGGTAGCTTATTTAGGAGGTGTCTGAATCTCTTCACAGCCTCACATCTCAACTTGTTGTGAATCCTTAACACAGCACATGTGCCTCTTGGAGTGTGGGAGGGAAACTGGATCTCAGCCCAGGGGAAGGGGATTGCCTCCTAGCTCCTTCCCTCCATCCTCTTGTTCTCCCTGTTGGTGAATGTTTGTCACTCTCTGGTGGTTCGATTAACTCCAGCAGCCCATGTGGTGGTGCAGTAGCTGAGAAAATCAGTTTAACTCTACCAGTATGTGGGCAAGTTTATGTGCTTCAAAATTCATGAGCTGCATCCTCTAGATTTACATTACCAAGCATGAAACTGTGATCCAAGACATGCATTTTGGCCTTCAACTTGTTTCTTAAATGTGTCATTAGCTGTTTCTGCTCTGTAGCAGTCTATTTTTTTATGGCATGGCAGGGAGCTAAGTAAGGGCAATGTAGACATGGAGGTGAAAATTCTCCACCTAATGGAAAGAAGTTGGAGGAGCAACTGTGTCCCTTTCAGACCTCCAGAAAAAGGACAGAAGTACAAGTCATGTCACAGAGGATGAGTTTGCAATGTGCTTAGCTTATTGAGAAGAGGGATAAATGACAAAGCAGATGGGATTGTGATAGCAGAAGAAGGTAGTATACGGATGCTCATTTTATAGTGTAGGTATGTTTCACTCTGTACATTGTTCCAGTTGTGTTATCCCAGTATGAGAAGTCATCAGACATCTCTCTTCCATGTCCTAGATGTCAAATGCCATGAGCCAATTGATTGGTATGAAAGAAAAAGGTTTGCCTCGCATTGCACGGCTCCTTCAGTCCAACAGCTCTGAAGTTGTCCGCTCTGGGGCTTCTTTGCTGAGCAACATGTCCAGACATCCTGTTCTCCACAAAACCATGGGTAAGGAATTTCCAACACAGAGTATTCCAAAACAATGTCWAATTTCTACTGTTCTAATATATGCCCACCCCACCCCAAGACAGGACTCAGACAAGCACCCAAATGGGACAAAGGGAACAAATAACAATGTTATTTGTTCTGGCCAAATGAACCTTTACAGATGATATCTGCTTTCTTAACAAAATGCATGCTATTGCAAAGTATACACAAGGATAYGGTATGCTTATAAATATGTATATACATATGCTTATTTATATATGTATATGATATGGTATGTTATGTATACGTAATGACAAGTCTGTGGAGTCACTAAACTGCCACCTGGATGACTGTTTTGGGGACTGAGTTGGATTTGATTAGCCCTGACCCACACATTGCCTTTCAAATCAATAATGGCCCCTGTACTGTTACTGTGCAATATTATTAGTGTCTCCTTTAGASGGTAATAGTGCATTCTTGTATCAAACTGTGCTTACTCAAGTAGTACTGTTCATTTTAGGTTTTATGTTTTATTTAAACATTGATTGGAACATTCCACCTTTTTAGCCCACCAGGTGCTTCCAGATGTATCACGTCTCCTATCATTCCAGTCTGGAAATACCAACAGCTATGGAGAGATCATGACATCAGCCTGTTACACTCTGAGGAACCTCATCATGTCCAACCCACATCTGGGAAAGTCTTACTTGACGAGCAACATGCTAAATAATGTAGTAAGCCTGTGCCGAAATGGGTGAGTTTGGAGCAGAAGTCATGCAAAACTTCACGTGCAGACATTTTTGAGCCCACAAAGTCTGTGCAAAACCAGATTAATTCAAGAGTAAAGCATTCTTCTTTCCTTATCCTTGTAACTGAGTTGAAGATGTTCTATGTTGTTAATAGACAGAAATTCTCAGCACTAATTCCTTGGTAACAGACATGAGCCACCCAGGGTGGGATTTGTTAAAGGAAACTCAGGAAATTCTCTCTGGTTTACTTAAATGAAATTGTAAAAGGAACTGAGGGACTAACATCTTATCCTCTATTAAAAAACGACAGCTCTCAGTACAAAGTATGCCAGGTATGCAACCTGATGCCGTAGCACCTGGGTTTCTGATCCGTAGCTTCCCACAGTCCTTATAATGAAGGTCAGGTGTGAGATTCAAGCACTGCTCATATGCTCCAATCATGACAACCTAAATAATCATAGGTARTTGGGATTGTGCTTATATTTTTAATGTTCAGAATTGTTCATCTTTCAATTGAAGAAGGGCGAAGTCATGGTAAAGACAAAGCTGTGATGAAGCATATATATATTCATAAATACATCCTCTGGTCTACCTATATATACCTCAAGAATAGCAACAACTGAGTGGTCCCTAAATGTTTTATGCACTATTTCTCTRTTACTTGGTTTGATTTCTGGTAGTAATAATTCTGTCCTGCTAGTTGTCCGTGCTCCTTACATGACAATGCAAAGACTGTCAGCTCATGCCGTATGATACACTGGTCACAGAATCAGAGAATCACAGAATGGTTGAGGTCAGCAGGCACCTCTAGAGATCRTCTAGTCCAACCCCCTGCTCCAGCAGGGACACCCAGAGCACAGGGCACAGGGTGGCATCCAGGCGGGTTTTGAAGACCTCCAGAGAAGGAGCCTCCACAACCTCCCTGGGCAGCCTGTGCCAGGGCTCTGGCACCCTCACAGTGAAGAAGTTCCTCCTCACCTGGAGTTGGAACTTCCTGTGTTTCAACTTAYACCCGTTGCCCCTTGTCCTRTCACTGGCCACCAATGAGAAGAGCTTGGCCCCTTCCTCTCTACATTACCCCTTCATGAACTTATACATGTTAATCACATCCCCTCTCATCCTTCTCTTCTCTTGTTTCTGACCAAATTGGTGTTTGACTTATAATGGAATTTATAGTCTTTGGCCATGTGTTCCCTTTCCTAGATATTCATCTCTCCTATTGTCTTCACTATAAAATATCTTGTGTAAAAACCAGGCATACTAACAATAATAGAATAGACATTCACATCTCCTCTCTATCATCCTTTGATGAACACTTACAACTTGCCACATGTTCCATGGTGACACAGAGATACACCCAGTCTTTAGAAGTTTCCTCTTTCCTTAGTTTGGACCTCAAACAATAAATACTGTTGGTTAATTTGCTCCTTTTATAGGTTTCCACATTACTACAAGCCCAATTAACATCAAGCCCTTCCCCTTCTAAGCCTGTGTTCATAGTTTTGGATGATGTTAACTTCTCCATAATGCCCTGTTTCAATTCCCCCACACCAAACATCGGCTAATTTGCTACCTCAGCAAAGTATTGCACAACTCAGATGATAGTACGCACTTCAATTGTCCTGGCTGTTTGGTGTCATAAGCTTTGTTTTCAATGACTCACTGAACTGTGTAAGGAATTGCTAAACTCCTAAAATGTCTTCAGTGTGTTCCTCCTGTCTTAGTCAAAATCCTTTCTGAGGAACTCCCCGGTTATTATATCGAAAACTTGCATTGTTCCCATTACTTCGTGATCCATTTCTGTCCCCTAGAACTTCCTTCCTGCTCCTTTCTGATGACAGCAATTTACACCCAAGATTAATCTTTACTTCTTCCAATCATCATTTCAGACTCTCCCCTCAGAGCAAATGGGTGGTCTCTCCTCTAGCAGCTTGGATCTGCTAATTCACAAACCAGCTAACTTAGTCCACTTCTCCGTGTAGAATATGAAGAGGACATTATAGGGTGGAATTTGTTCAGACTTCTGCTTTAGAAAGAGCTGAGCCATCAGATGAGCCAGTAATGGCCATCATAAATCCATTATCTCTGTCAGTGGCTGTTGGCTAGGCTAGCTTTGACCTCATGTTGTCTATACAGACCTTTGGGGTGATAAATCCCAAGCTATGATCCTCCTCCTTCCCAGTATAAGAGGAGTACTCAATGGTGATTACCGAATGACCAAATCCGCATGGTGAACACCATGCCATGTTGTACCTTGTTAGTGCACTGCAGACTTTTCCCCATCACTTTGCCTCAGTTCTGCTGGGAACACTCTTCCTTTGCTTCAAGCATTGTCTTACAGTTGGCTGACGTGTCCGTAACACCTCCCTAGTACCTGCTGCCTCTGCATTTTTATGCAATCCGCCAGAAAGTTCTTTGCCTGCAGTCTTTCACTGGTGCCTCTTTGCATTCGAATTTATAAATCATTAGTTTGTTTACATCCAACACAATTAATTTTGTATTCGTATAACTTCCAGCTTATAGACAAGTAGATTATGAATCTTTTCCATAGGCTTTTTAATAGGCAATCCTTCCTGCATTTCTCATAGTTGGGGTTATCTTTTTCCTTGCTGCTTCCCGTGGCTATATTCTGAGTTAAAGGCATGAACTGCTCTACTGTTTTTCTGACAGCTGTGGTTTCTTCTCCTTCCTGGAGCACCCCAATTAGATAATATTCTCAGTCTCCTGTTTATGTCCTCATTCATGACATGGACTCCATAGTGATGTTTGTCCACTCTTTATCAATTTTTAAATCTAATTGCCAAATATTTTGATTGCCTTCCTTTTAATTGGGATTTCTGAAAAGCAAACTAATATTACTGATTTGTTGTTATGTCCTTTCACCTTTTCTCTTCCAACTGCGTGAAAAACATTCCTTTAGTCATGTTCACGCAACATTATTTTTCTGATAAAATTATCTTTTTTTTTTCTCAATAAAATTCCTGGCTGCATTGAAAATTTCTCACCAAAGTCTTTTTCTATAAACTTAGAATATTGGATTTGCAGTCTTCCTCACAATCCCCTTGCCACTGATTTATTTCAATATCACTTTTTTTTTGTTCTTTAAGTTATCTCCTTTCTGTTACACAATTTAATTATGCAATTCAACTATATATTTGCRATCCTCATGTATGGTGTTTGGGTATTATCTGCTGAACCCCTTGGGTGATTATGACCAGGATAAATTTGGTAATTCCTGTTAGGCCAGAAGGTCTTTTCTACCAAATGTTGCGTATGTCAGAGAAATGCCCCCAAATTCATACAGAAATTCGTACAGAGTTTGCTGATCCCATGTTGTTTCTGATGTCAGCTTTTCATAGTGTCATGAACATAGTATTTTGAGAACACTTTTTTTTGTGAAGCTATATCATACTAGGAGCCAGGGCTGGTCCAGACTTGGATCTTGTGCTTCTTCTCCACTCTGGTTGGGACGGATTGGGACTGTCACCCTGAATCCCAAAGTTAGGCCATGGTCCAGCAGATCAGGAGCAGTGATAAGAACCAGCACCGAGCGTTATATCTAGGTGCATGAAATGCTCCAAAATTACAGAAGATACTGTATATGAATCATGGTTTCGGAGCTGTTACGTGAACAAGTATCTATTAGCTTGTGCTGAGCAAGGACTCAGGATTACTGTTGTTGTTACTAATGCTCCTGTCTCTTCCATACTCGCTAGAGCCCTTTCCTGCATCGCTCTTCTGAGCGATTCACCCACRCAGAGTTCAGAGAGGGATTGGCACCCTTTCCCTTCTCCTTCAGTGTTTCCCAAATTTCGGACTTCAGAAATGGCCCTGCAGCTCATTTTAATCTTCTTATTCCATTCGAATCTTCCTTTCCRTTTTTATTAGCCTCAGTTTGGTCCCAGTGGTCATTGTCACGTAGCACTGTTGGGAGAGCAAAAAAGATTTTATTGACAAACCTCAGTCAGGACTAGCTAGTCCTCAGCAGAAGGCAGGCTCGTTGAAGAGCTCTTGCTGATGCATGCTGTTATCTGTCGGTCGCTGCTCCATGCCCTGCTGTAATTCCCTGGGGTTTCTCTCATCTTCCCAGCTCCTGTCCAAAAGCGGCTGAAGCTGCTCGCCTCCTCCTGACGGATCTGTGGTCAAACAAGGAGCTGCAGAGCGTGCTCAAACAGGTAAGGGAAACACTCCTGCTTCTCAGCTGGCAGCAGAAACCTGATCTTGACTCACGCACTCAGGTTCGTGAGTTTGCAAAGGTCACAGCTCAGAGCTGAAGATGGGCAGTGGCCAGGAGAAGCCCGGAGCACTGGGGCACCCCGCAATGCTCTCAGCACAGGGGTAGGATCAGAGTGAGAGAAAGTGAGTTGCAACAGCAGGTCCCCGGGCTGTCTTTAGAGACTAAAGCTAGTCCCCTGGAGCTAATGGACTCGACGACCTCTAGAGGTCCCTTCCAACAAGGATTCTAGTGCTAGCTCAGGTAGGCTCTGCTGTGATGCAGCCACGTTGCTACAGGAATTAGTGCTGTTGTGTGTGCATGAATAGCTCTGTGCTGGGAACAGACCAGGTTCCTTCAAGCTGTCTTGGGAGATCCCTGCATCCTGGCCATTGTGCAGGATAGGTATTCATGTCCCAACAGATCTCTGGCAATGTTTCTCCTCCCTTTCCCCACGTTTTCTTCTGTATCCATAATCCCACTCTGTGGTCACATCACCCTCACAGGCAGAGTAGTCTTTTAAAGCAATAAGAAGAATATTTACATTTTGTTTTCCTCCTTGCACCAGAATAAAAGTGCAGAGCCAGATGGGGCACTTTGCCAGGCTTCCAGCTCTCGGTAGCTTCCTTTGAACAAGCTAGGTTTTTCCAACTCAACATCAACAGCACCTGCACAGAGTAAACAGCCAAATTAAAGCGGAGTAACATCCACAAAGTGAATACCCTGGGGATGGGGAGGTAGAGAGTACCTAAATATTCCTGTATTAACAGTWAGGGACTTTCTTACTAGGAATTTGCACAGCTTTGTGTCAGGCTCTGCTTAGGAGACCATGCCAACTCATTTTGATGTGACTGAGTCACTCATGTATATTACAGAGATGTTCATTGCATTGGTATACATCAGAAAATGCACATGAAAGTCTGCAAGACTTTTTCTGGTACAGGGAATAAGATTAAATAATGTTTAGTAATGGCTTTCTCCAGTAAAGTCAGAGAAGTCCAGGTCTTAGCAAATGGAAGATAATGTAAGATATCTCAAGGAAGATAAAGCCCATCAGTAAGGATGACTATGCACTTGTCAAGGACAACCGAGGTCCAAGCAGGTTCTTAGTACAGAAAAGGAAAAATACTTTTTTCATGTGGAACAAGAGACTCTTGACTATCAGTTTTGAAATCRCCATACATTCATGGAATTTCATATGCATCTGTTTTTCAGCAAGGATTTGATAAGAACATGATGGGATCTCTAGCTGGAACGACCTTCAGGACCCTCTCTTCCAGATTCTAGGAGCCTTTCTATGTGTGTTGCCATTGCAGGTGAGAGTGGGGCCCTTGTCATCATGGAAAGGGAGGTCCTTGGGCAAAGGAAGAGTACATGAGCCCTTTGCTTACAACCCCCCTAAAGTGGGTTTGTGACACTGCCATCAAAATCCTATCAGCCCAAACTGCAAAGCATCTGATTTGCTGAAAAGTCGGAAGGACGCAGTTCTTGGTTTTAGTGCTGCTTTTACTTTCTTTGCTAACTAAAAAGCAAATAATCATAGTTTGCCAAATTCTCAGATGGGATTTTGCAAAGGAATGTCTTTGAGAGTATTTTCATTCTTGAATTTTGAGCGGTGTGAACCAGAAAGTATGAGTAACATGCAACTAATTCCAGAACATGCTATGACACTTGCCATCACTCTTAGGCTTTTATGATCATTTAAAAAAATCAGAAGGCCTCAGGTCAAAATTTGGAACAATATGCTACCATGTGAACAATCCCAACAGAGAAACCAGGTTGGAGAGATCAAGAGAAAAATTTTCAGGGCATCCCTATGACTTATTATTCGCTATGAGATGAGACCTGATTATATAAGGTGTTTGTGGTTAGTAATTCTCAGTGAAGAGAATATAAGATTTAAGTTGTTTTGCATTTCTCAAACATTGGATGTCTCTACGGGGCCTGAGATCATGTGATATGAATTATTTGTTCCCTTCCTGAACATGCTCTTTGTGATGAAGCTAAATACAGTCTTGATGTAAGAAAAGTAGATGGAAAAGCCCATTTATTTCCTATGTCCAGGAATGAATTTCACTTCTTGCTTTGCTGGGCTGTTTTCATTTCAAATCAGTCTGATCTGTGATGTAGAAGTCTAGAGGGGAAAGAAGGGTCAGGATAGCACAGAAATTGGGTAGAGACCAAAGAAAAAGATGAAAASTTGGGTTTGAATGTAAAGAAAAGATTCATTGAATGCTTAATTATCTGGGTTTTTCTTTTTTCCTTGTTTTTCTCCATTCAGAATGTGGATTTGGTTCATCTTCAGGACGACAATCCTTGCAGAATTATTTAGGATGTTAAAGACATAGAGTGTTTCTGAGTTTAACTCAACTGTAAAGCAAACTAAATATGCGGATATCATCTGGATGATRCTGATATTTTTAATCATTTTCTTCTTTTTAGGGGGGGAGAAGGGACTTTTATTAAGGTTATACTTCCTTGATGTCAATAATTATTTTTTTGCAAAAAGTGTGTCTGTGTAACTATGTATGTGTAGCTGTGTATGTGTGCATGCCCACAACATACATGTGCACACATGATGAGTAGAATCTTCCTACAAGTATAGTCCCGTGTCTGCCACTGAAAGTCAGTGTGAAATGTGCAATTAACTCCCTTGCAGAGTTTTGACAAATTCCACCCTATCCGTGCACCAGATACTGCCACATTAAATACTTGTCACAACCTCGTTTTACCCACAGGTATAAAATTGCCAACGATATGTTAAGTCTTCACCCCATTGCATATGGCTCTTATAAACAGATACACACCACAGTGCTCTTTTTTTAAAAAAAAAAAAAAAAAAGCTTATTATTCCTGACATTTATGAACATGGGTTTCTTCTGTGCTTTCGAGTTGTTCTCAAATGAGCTCTTATAGTTATTAGTGTTTTCTTTCGTGTCACATGAATTCTTTTTCTTAAGAAGCAAATTCATGTCTGCAAACTCTCTCCGGGATCTCAGTAGCCATTCTCTGAAGCTATATGCTAGGGGCAACTATAACACATCTGCAGAGCATGAATATACTGGCCTCCCAAATCCTTTTGAGCACCAGAGCAATCATTCTGAACAGCTGAACAAATCAATCTTGTAAAATATATCCACTTCTTTCCTTTATAACACTGTACCTAGATAAATACGGCATTTAAGAAGCTGAGCTGGAGACATCAAATGCTATTTTTTTTCCCCAGGATCATTGACCACCACATAGGGCTTGAATGCAAGGGATGTGGCATGTTGAATCATGTTTTGTTTTTAACTCATCAATATGAAAAATTAGCATTAAAATGCAAAGGAATGTAAACAGTTGTGTGAAGTTAGATTTGAAAAAGTTTTATTTCTCAGTATCTTTAATGACCTGAATCACTCTGTCCTGCTGAAGAGGGGACTGCTGAGCTCCCGTTAGGGCAGCCCACCTTTCCCTGGGACACYGTGTGCCCTGAAAGTCCCCGGGCGAGAGGGGATATAGCTCCGTGCCACGGGATGGGATCAGCTCCGGGTCTGAACGTGCTGTCCTGTATGCCGGACTCCTCTGAACCATGAGAGGCCACATGACACCGTTCAAATACCCAGGAGGGGCTTGGGAAGGACAAATTATGCAATGAAATCTTGGTAGGGAAAAGCATCTTTTTATTTTTTTTTCTGTCTGTGTGTAAGGGAAGAGGGTAAAAGCTGGTGTCACGCTCCTGAGCTGCTGGAAATGAGCACAGCTCCATTCACATCATATAAGTGCTATGGTTGCACCAGCTGGTGACCTGTCCATAAAGCTCAGGTTTGCTCTGGCACGGCTCTACGCATAAAAACCGCGCTGGCATTTTGCATGTGCCTGCAGAGCGGACCTGGTGGAAATGAGTTGCTCGATGGTTTTTCTCTTGGACTACAAAGGGTGGCTTCATCTTTGTGCACTTTAATGAGCAGCAGCTCTTTGCTTGCAGTCCCCCACATTTGCTTGAGAGCTTTCTGTGCAGAGCTCTCAGCCAAATGAAAGAGGGAAAAGCGCCTTTGAAGTGGAGAGCTAGAACCAGGCGCAGCCGGTAGGACAGTTTCTGCAGTATTTAAGCAGCAGCAAAGGAGCCGGGCCCGCGGGCTTGCCCTTGCCATACCTGTCAGTTTTTAAGGATTTCGGTACATCTCTTCAGGTACACAATTCCAAACATTTTTCAGCAGAACCCAAGACTATGGACATCCAGAATGGCTGCAATATCCACAGGCAAGAGGTCGCAGTTTTGGTGTAATTTTGGTGTTGTGTGCAATTTTACATTCAGATTTGTTCCTGTAATTACACGTCTTCAGCAGAAGTCCTGGGAGCTGGTTTTTTTTTTCTTTTCTTTAGAATTAATTTGGAAAGAAATTCAAATCTCAACAAAACAAACTAATGGAATGAAGAAATTCATTCTAATTGGCTGCTATTTAACTTTTATTTTAAAACAGTTCTGCTTTCACTGGTAATTTAGTTTGCTATCACTATGTAAGGCACAAAGAGCTGTAACTATATGATAATGGTATGACAATTATATTTTTTACAAGCACTGGAGATTTCATTAGTAGTTAAACATGAAGAAACAGATACATCATTCACATAAATTCTATCAAGTTCAGCAAACTGCTTTTACCAAAGCTAATAAAATAATAAAAATAAAATCTGTCTCCATCCTCGGAGATGTTCAGAACTAGACCAGACAAAGCCCTGAGCAACCTGATCTGGCTCCTTGGTTGGGGCAGGAGGTTGAACCAGATTCCATCCTCCAATTAGGATTCCATCCTAATTTTTTTATGATGCCGAATGGCACTGCTCTCATACCTCAGGATAAAGAGAGAGCCGTGTGCTGTGTAAATTGTAACCGCTCAGTCATCCCAGGGCTGTTTTGCAGCTATTTATGCAGCCAGGAAATTCTCCGATCATTTAACTCTGTTTCCCTTCCTTTTTAAAATCTAAACCACTCTATCCAAATCAATGACGTGACACTGATGTCAAATCAGTGCAGGAACAAAAATTAGACATATGGGAGTCCAGAATGCTGTGGATAACAAGCAGATTCAGAATCTCCTTTTCCAAGCCCCACTCTTCCCAGGGGCAGAGTCCAGCACTGCAGTGATGGATGCCATTCCCACCTCATCTACTCTTCCCAGGGAGACATTGCTCCTTAAGGCACATCCAACCACAGCATCCTCTTTGATRGGCCCTTTCCCCCTCTAGCTTGTTGGAGAGCCCAAGTAGGGCATAGCCCCAGTTTGACCGGTGAGGGCAGAGCTGCAGCACATCACAGCACGTGCTCTGAGTCATAGCGATGGAGAACTCCTGGGGAGGGAAGGACCAGAGCTAGCAGCACTGCTGGCCCTGCCCGCACTGGGATTAATAGCAGTTAGGGCATGATTTGCGCACAGGACATGCATCATGTAAATAAATACCATTCTTGTTTGTCCTGGGCATAGCAGAGTGTTTTGGTCTATTTTCTCATAAGTGCTTTGTTTGTTTTGTTTATGTAAAATCCAACCCACCCCAGCATTTCAGAAGCCTCATGGACGAGTAGAAGGCGGGAGGCAGTTTTATTCCTCTCTGACCACACACCAGTTTGAGATCAACTTTGCCTACCAGTCCATAGCTATACAGTGTATTCTGTAAGATATAGGTATGTGAGAATAATGTATCAGAGTTTTGTTTTGGCTGTACTGTATGTATTTGCTTCATTGGAAAAGCTGAAATCAATAAAAATTGCTGAAATTTCTTCAAGCTTCCCGTTTAGCATGGTTTGTCTTCAGCTATCTGAAACACGCCTTGTAATAACCTCCTTCTCCTGCTGTTTAGCCTTTCTACCCTTCAGTCCTCAAGAATTTCTTAATTGATGGGATGTGCTGGGGTTATGCTCGCAGTAAGATTAATGGACTGTTAAATACAGTCCACATTGCCTGTAAAGTTTAATTGTCCCTTTTCACTTCCCTGCCTTAACAAAGATTGTCCTTTAAGCTCCCTTTCTGAAAGTGAGCACACAGTGGCAGCTCTTTAGACTTTTGTTGATCCAGATGTTGGTGGCACCTCTACAAATCCAAGATTTTGGGGACAGACCCTTCACATTAATCAGGACTAAATCTAGGGGGTCATCTGCTCTGGTGACTTCCTAGGCTCCTCCAAGAAACTGCTGCTGACAGCATCTAGAAATCTAGCATCTAGTCTCTGCATCACAACCCGCCTAACTCTGGTTTTTTGGTGATAATTGAAGTGCAGGATGCCCAGAAGACTTTTTAGTTCCAAAG